GCCGGGTGCGGTGGCGCGCGCCTGTAATCCAAGCTCCCGGGAGGCTGAGGTTGGAGGATCGTTTGAGCTCAGGAGCTCTGAGCTGCAGCGAACTATGTCGATCGGGTGTCCGCACTAAGTTCGGCATCGATATGGTGCTCCTGGGGGAGCCCGGGACCACCAGGTCGTCTAAGGAGGGGTGCACCGGCCCAGGTCGGAAACGGAGCAGGTCAAAGCCCCCGTGCCGCTCAGTAGTGGGATCGCGCCTGTGAATAGACGCTGTAGTGCAGCCTGAGTAATACAGCGGGACCCAGTCTTTTTGTCTCACTTTTTTATTTAAAAACTACATAAAATAAGAGTCCTTCACCGTTGTAGAGTGGAATTTGAGGTGTTCTACACACTGGCCCCTACTGGACAAAAGAACTTGTTTTTCTCTTACTGCTAGCAGTTGTAGTTGGTATGCCTGAGGGCCCGTGGCTGTGTCATTTGAAAGTTTGCTACAGGTGGTCAATGGAACGAAGATGACGCTAAACAGTGTCTGACGGAACAACAACAACAACAACAACAACACATTTAGGTCTCAGTCAGATTGTGGCGAAGTTTGAAGCAGGAGGCACAGATAACCTAACTGTTGTGATTTCATAGCCTAAACCTAAATGGACTCTTCAGATAAGAATGCATTTAGAGCCCTGTAGAGAGGTGAAGATCGTAGCCTAAAATGCACTGTTACAGGAAAACAGACCAGCTGTGTCAGACTGACATCTCCCACAGTGTGGCATCCAGCGCTCAAACGTTTTAATTAGGCTCTTAAAGGTGCAACTTTTCAGGTGGCGGTCCGTGGCGAGTTCGTAAACTCTTGCTTTGTCTGGAATGTTCCACAATTTATCCAACATGGATTCAATCATTTCAGAGTGATTTTTCTTTTCTCAGAAATTATCCATGGACGAGTTGTCTGGGGGTATAATTTAATGCCATATGGTGTAACATTCCAGGCAAAGCAAAACTAACTCCCTGGAGACAATCTGGCAGTCCCTCCATCAGAAAAGTCATAGTGCACCTGCACCTTTAAATAATTCCCCTGCTCTAGTTGTCACCGCTTGAAACCACGTGAGGAGAGTTTATTAAAATGCCTCAAACATTTAGATTGGACTGGACAAACAAATAAACCTACTGAATTGAAATAGGATTTGAAAAAATGTGTTTAAGCGACAGTAATTTTACATGAATCTCGTAATTACCTTGAAACAGACAAATGATTTAATTTAGCTTAATTGTAATCGCCTAATAACTCCCGTGCAGGTTCAAGCTCTTCATGTTAATCTGGTTAAATGAACAAAGGCCGCTAATGAAGACAGACCTGGTAAACAAGTGCTGAGGAGATAAAACACTTTGCAGTAGTGAAAAGAGGCAACGCAGACTGTGCCTTAGAGAAAGACAAACTGCGTAACGTAAAGAACAGCTATTCCACTGTAATTGGTGTACACTGCCATCAAAAGCTCATGCAAGACATACAATGCGTGGCCCGTGAAAGGAAACTCCAAAGCACATTAAAAGTGAATTAGTTCTTGTGTAGAGTGTCCTCGGGGTCATTCTGGTCACGACGCGCGCACCTCTCCAAAAGCGCACACGTCTCCAAAGGCGCACTCCATACTTTGTCAAAGCCAGTCACATTGTTGAGGGCTTTCACAAGAGGTGTACATATGGCATCCGGGTTGCAATTAAATGTTTTTAAGATGTTTTTCCTTTCTTGAAGAAGTTTCTTCTTTCTTCTCCCCCTTCGCCAGCAGCTCTTTGGCGGAGAGCACGAGAGGAGAGAGGGGGGCACATTGAAAAGGTGGAGTTTGGGATGACAACAATCTGGTCAGCGAGTTGTTGGACTTTGATTGTCTCTTTCAAAACGTCCTTCAAACAAAAAGCTGAAGACGAAAATAAAGCCCCACCTGGTACTTCTGTTTGCTAAAATAATAATAAATAGATTTGGTTTAATAAATAAGCAAAGGGGACTGTAAAGTGGAGAGTGGACGATGTATTAATCAGCGACTCTGGGCAGGTATCACCTGCTGCCTCGCTTGCTCAGTTTATTGTTAAATATTGTTAAATCGCGTTTAAGTCTACTTCGATATCTGCTATTTCCACAGCAACTGTTTGCCCACACTTTGCATAACAAGCAGACACTACAGTCTGCTGATAAAATTAAGGGGAGACTAACTAGAAGTCCACACCTGTCCTCGAAATCACAACGTGGCTTCAGCATCAGTGACTATTTGTAAAGTGGTAATATTTAGTTTACTTTGGTTTTTTCCTGCCTTTTATAACAGCGAGCCCCCATCTCCTATCTCACTCTATATTTGTCTAGTTTATTAAAACCATATGGTTATCAGACATGGACCCAATACACATATTTAGATAGAAAGTTAAGGAGAGCTTTGCGGGAGCATTAGTTGGTCATTGTAAATCCAGTCCAACCTCAGCCACACGTCCCTTGTCTGCTCCTGGCGACTGGCACGTGCCTTCTCCCTTACCATAAACATTGGTCACATTTAAAGTCATAAAAATAAAAAATATAACCCACAGAATCCATGCACAATGGAGATGTTGCCAACTTGAACGCATTTTGGATATGTCATAGCGCACACATTTATGCCCACGTGACAAAAGATATATAGTTTTTATTGTTTCCATAGACAATAGGACCCTTGGTGCTCACACTTCACACAGCAGATTCCATTCCCACTAGTCCTTTTCAAGAGCTGGATTCGTGCGTAAAAGTGTATGCCCGACTGTAGAGCTTCGCGCCGGGTTTAAAATTACAGCGACATAAATGATAAAAAATTACAGAAAATGTTAAACGTTATATTAAAGGTTGAAAATATGGGCAGTCATAATCAGAAGTGTATGTGTTTATTCCATTAACAACTTTGGCATCCAATTAAAAAAGACAGACTTTTATAGATGTTAAAGTTGTTGTCAACAATATTAATATGGGCGCGCATTAAGGATTGTGTAGAGCGAGGGGAGTCTAATGAAAATAGTTTTATTAACAACAGTTAGCATCGCTGGAATATTTCTTATGTGCGTAATATTTAGGGCAACATGAATTCGAGATGTACATAACATTGTGCGCATTTTGCCCAGATGATACATAGGCCTAAACGAAAAACGACAGAGACAAATGTAGCTTTTTCAATCACAACTGGGACCTATAGCCAATCTTAATGGTGCGCAATTGAAAGATGGACATTATTATTATTATTATTATTTATTTCTTGGATAGTTCAAGCAGCAATGTTGTGCAATGATGGCTTTGTCCATGACATGTCTTGTATAATCCTTGACATAATTTTAGTAGCCTATCCTGTTATAAGACGCAATACCCACTTCTAGGGTTCCAAATATTAAAATTCAAAGGCAAAAGACCTCCAAAAACTATTGTGCATCACCTTTTCACGGCCATACGTCTAGTCCTCTATCTTGCCCTCTAGTTACGCGTCCGTATTTTACAAAGAGCACACAAAGAAATACGGAGCGGGGATGAATGGTGGCGAGGCCTCGAGGAGAAGAATCCGAAGCAGAAAGACGCGCGGACTGAAAGCTGATTGGCTACTTAACAGACGCTGTTGATTCAGGCTTTAAGGAGATAAGATAAAAGCCATATAAAATGACAGGGATGCGCACCCATCCCTCAGTGTAAGCTGCACAGATAAAGTCCACCTGAACCACTGCACGCGCAGACAGACTCGTGTCTCCAGAGCCGCTGCATACCTGCTCAAGTAAGTCTACTGGGTGATAATTTTGTTTAAAAACAATTTAGTAGGTTATATCAAAATAATTGTGTTTTATTATTCGACATTCAGTCTTTTTGATGGTTATAATAACTTAAAAACAAACACACAAAAAGATGTAGACAGCATAGGTTTGACATTATGGTTATGAAATGCAAATGTACAGAAGATTGTGGTCTTTCCCTTTTTTAGATTATTTGGAAAAAGTGCACAAGATTTTGAATGGAAATTATGTTATTTAGTGCAGTTGTAATAGGAAATGTACCCAACCAGTATTTAAAAAAATGTTTTCAGAGAACAGAAAGAACTGACACATTGTAAAGTATTTGCCATGTAAATAAAAGCAACTTCTTAGTAAATGACCTGCATATTTTCTTTTCAAGGGATGTCTCCAAAAGAGCAGTGCGTCGATGTGCGCGCACACAAAAGCGTAACGACGTTCAGTGGCATATTTCCGAGTCGCCGCTTTAAATCAAAAGACTCCTCTTACGAACATCTGTTGCAGAAGAAAAGTGCCGCACTGGAGACGCAGGCAAAACGCAGACTGGGCAGTGACGCACAGAGAGGCAAGCGCAGAACCAAGGCCAATGACAGGGAGCGACACCGGATGCACAATCTGAACTCTGCTTTGGACGCACTCAGGAGCATCTTACCAGCGCTTCCCGAGGACACAAAACTGACCAAAATAGAAACATTACGCTTTGCTCATAACTACATCTGGGCGCTGACGGAGACTCTGCGCATGTGTGACCAACATACTTCAAACCAAACTGAACACATACACAGTCCAGCAGAGTGGGACAGCACCAGCCAGTTTCCTTCCAAAATGAACTGTGGCCAGCCCAGTGTAGTCCCTGTTACAATTTATTTTTAAGATTCTGCACTAATATTGACTTTTATTTTGAAATCCTGTGTACACTGACTTAATATATAACCAAAAGAACTAGATAATTTTATAGCCCAATACTACACCTTTAAGCACTTACATTGGGGCCAGGTTTCTAAGCAACTGTTTTGGCAAAAAAAAGTGGTTGATTTTTACCAAGTTTGACTGATTCAGACTATTGCTTCCTTCATGGGATTTAAACCTTGATAGTGAATACGTTACTCATAATGTATTTATCATTCAGTGTTACTTATGCTTGACTACCTGAGTATTGTTTCACTAATTCATGAACTTATATAATGCAATTGCATTATCCTGCACTTAAGTTGAATTCATATTAAAAAAAGACACAATACATGCTAAAATATTTATTTGGCATTGTTAAATGTTCTTGTTTTTTTTAAAACATTAAAAATCAGTTTTGATAGAGTGGTTCTTGTTTCAAAGTATTTGAAACATGCACATAAGATGTACAGGGCACAAAATACTAAAATACAGTGGAAGATTTCAATGTGCAGATTGCATTTAGAAAAGTCCAACTCATTATTTTCTTTATCAAAAATGTGCAAATCCACAAGTTTTTCTTTTTAAACATACTGAAGCGTAATGCAAGAGACAAAGCCTTTGTGGATAAAGGTTTGGTTGGTTTAGTATGTCTTGATATTGGCATTGTTTATTTTGGGAAGACTGTGACCACGTCGTAGCCTTCTGGGGGTGTGACTCGCTCCCGTGCGTGCTTCTCACAGTAGATCTGATCCTCCACAAAGAAATGTCCCTTTTGTTTGAGGTTTGTGTTGCAGTCTGTGCAGGTGTAACACTCAGGGTGACGAAACTTGTCCCGCAGTTTGACCACCATTCCCCTGGAAGAGAAGACATGAATAAAAGGTCAAGAAAAATAAATCAGAAAATCATAAAAAAAAATAAAAATCAACATTCAAAATGACAAATGTATTAATAACAACAGATTTTTCTGCTGCAAGTAGAGATAAGGAATCATTTTATAAACCAGAAATCATTCTAGATAGAAATAAGGTGCTGTGACCGTTTTATTTTCTTTATTTTGCCTGCTGTTAATCAATTTGGCAAATTTATCCCATAAATTGGTTTATATTTATGACACAAACGTCGGAATTCTGAACTCAATTTTAACTCAAAGTTTACATCCGCCCAGTCAGCAAACAAGCTGAACATTTGTAATCAAGTTTAAAAGTTTCTGATGAATTGGCTAAAATTGGCCACAAGGGGGAGCTCTAACACCAAACACTCATATCCGCCTTTGACTAGGATGCAATCTAGGATCCATAAATGACTCAGCCAAACATATTATAAGACACTTACACTATGCCAGATCCACATTTGTCGCACATGGGCAGTTTGTCTGCTTTTCCCACTGAAGCTCCAATCTTATTTGTGGGGGCTTTGACACTCCTGAATCCCGAGGGCTTGTCAGAGTCACCTAAAGAGAAAAATATTAATAAGAGTGATCCTGGAACAGAATGCATAGTTAGATAGAGACAGAGTGCTCTGGTGTTTAAAGATGCACATGAAAATATATTATATAGTATTATTTGTCTTTCTCATTGGAGACAAGCAGGTGCCTAACCCTACACCAGTAAATTTACAATAGTGCGGTTTAAAGAGAAGTATTTATGGCCGTGCTTTAAACACTGAGTATTTATTCCATTTGTCATGTTGTACCTGTCTCTAGTATTTCCTGAAGCACTTTGAAGGAGGCGGACTGTCGCGGAGGTTCGTCAGACTCCTGGTTTTCCTGCAGCATTTTGTAAACTTCGGACCCTTCGGTGACAGGATGCTTCTTGGCTCCAGGTTTGGATGTGTCTGTGGAAGATCTGCAAAACACATGGAAACAGGTCAGTGTCTGTATGTGAACATGGACATTCACAGGCCACATTTAAGATACAGATTGCTTTTTATATATCTTTTAACCCCTAATATTATTGTTAATAATATTCATGCTCATAGTAGCCATCTAAAAACAGCATTTTTATTTGAGCTGAGCCTCAACTTTACCTGGTGGCATCACTTGCTTGATAAGCAACCAAGATACATTTAAAATGCCACATTGAAAAACATTCCAGGCAAAGCAGTAACATTTGCTTGGAAACAAACAACCAGAAAAATTATGTTGTGCTCATTTGAGAATAACAGGTCATTTCATTATTATAGCATCTGTTTGTGAGATTATTAGGCAGCAGAAAGTACAGTTTTCAAGGTATCTGAAGCAGGAAAAAATTAGGACCAGAATGGATCATATTAAACAAAAAAAATTTAACCAAAAAAACAGTAAAGTCTGCAAACATATCTGTTAATATAGGCAAAGAGCAGTTAGGAGATAGATGCTACACCTGAGCTTGAGTAACTCTTAAGACTTTGGATTTGCCGTAGGAAAACAACTTTATAAACATCCATAAACATGTTTAATTTGGGTAATTACATCACACTACAGGGGATGAAAATATTTACTTAGTTTATTTAGTTCCATTAACACAAAAACTATCCACTCTTTTATTGAGGTGTTATGTCCTCAAGGATAAATTAATGAGGTGACCAAATGTTTCCTCAAAACATTTGTGGTTTGAGCTTCAAGACTGTTGTAAAGATATAAATGCTACTGGAAAACAGGTCTATAACATGTGTCAACACTTTCACAAGAGTGTTTTTAAGAGGTTCTAATGTCTCTATACCATTACTGCCAACAGTCAATACTAAAACTAGTTCTAAACACATACTATTACCACTATCCCCATTCACCATTTACAAAAAAAAAAAATAAAAGATTACAATTAATTCCTACTAAAGAGAAAAGGGCTAAAATGGTACTAGAGACTTGGGACTAGGGTTGTCGAAACTAGATACTCATTTGAGCAGGTATCAATACTAAAAAAGTCACATTTAGCTTTCATAAATAGCTTAAGAATGATCTTGAGCTGCATCGGAACAAGTATAAAACCACACAGACTAGAAACACATGGAACCTACCTGGATGACTCTGGGATTACAGAGATATGAGGTCACATAGTAATATAAAATAAAATACTATGATTTAATGTTGAGAATCACATTCTATTGTCAAAAAAAAAAAGTTGTTTTATTTATTTTTTTTCTATCACCATGGTATTGGAAACAGTACAGAGACTATTCTTTAGTATTTAAATCATGTTTGAAAATTTAGTACAGTGACAACACTTGGGAACAGGGGATTTTGTCAGTTATTTGATCTTACTTGTTGTTTGGTTCGCTTGCCATGGTTTTGACTTCATCCACAGCAGAGTTGAAGTCCTTGATGTTTTCAGAGGAGTAGAGGCCGGCTGGATTATTGTACTGGTTTGTCACGACTTTGGCCCCAAATCCACTGAATGGCAGAGCGCTTCTGTTGTGGGCGGAGCCTATGTGCTTCACCTCCTGTGGAAGAAAGGAGCTTTATTAGTTATATTATAAATTCATGATAGGAAATGAGGTCTAGGATAATGATGGATGCCAATGTTGTGCTTTTGAGGGAAAAATGCCATGGTGATAACTGGTGCAGTCCTGATAATGTCATTTTTAATTGTGATTATGTAACAAATAATATGCCAAAAGTGCATAGGTTAATACACACCAAAACAAATAACATAGTAGAGATTGAACTAGTTGAGCCATGCTACCTTAATGCTTGTATGAATACTGGGTGTAGGTTTGGTTGGCATGGCTACTTTGGGTGTGAGGAGGGCCATTTAGTAGATAAATGCAGGGTTACACTTTACACTGGCAATTAAAAGGTCCTATATTACACAAAATGGATTTTTGTGAGCTTTAAGACGTGTTACAATGTTGTTACCTCATCAAAAATAAACCTGGAATTGTGTTAATTTCATTTCATTCACACATTCGAGTAATCCTTTATTATTAGTCTGTCTACATCTCCAAAACTCAAAATGCTCTGTTCCACCTTGTGATGTCATAAAGTGGTAGGTTTCAAGTTCACAGCTCCCTTTTATTTTTTATTTCAGTAGAGATGGGCAATTCCACCTGTTAAATGTGGGAAAATGTCAAACAGAAACCAATTGAGGTTAATATTAAACTTCGAAACCTGGCTGGGAATTTTACGGAAGAAACTAGCAAAGAATTCCAAGGCCCACTCAGCTATCAAAAACCATATGAGGAAATTCAAATATCCGGATACTTTTGATATGATGCAGCTAGACATTCCCTTTTAAGCATGAAAAAACGATTACTGTAATCACAATCATAACTCGGTTCCCACTATTAAAGCTCAACTATTAAGCAGTCAACTGAAAACATGCCTTACCCTAAAAATGTCCTTATTTGTCCTACTTCCTCCTGGGATTTAACACATAATTGAGACATTCTTGGGTGTAATGTGAGGATTCTTGGTTAATTACAGCTAAGTGGGTAACGTTTTTAAAAGCCAGCATGTCATGACACTGGTATGCCATCAAAGTGGGCGCATAAATACCACCAAAACGAGCTCATGCTGCAAAACAAGAACACAGGAATAAATTACTAGCTCATGCTCAAAGCCTGTGTGTTTAAATACCAGAAAACCCCAAAGTCTCTGAGGCCAAATGAAACCAGGAGCAGAGCAGCAGACAGGGCAGACAGTGGACTAAATAAAGATTAGCAATGCAAAATTTATCAAGTTATATCTGTTCGCATTAAAATAGCAGCACAGTTAAGTAGGGCTGTAGTCTTTTAGTCGATTAATCATTTGATGAGGTTTTAGTTGATCACAATTTGTATTAGTCTACTTATTATATTTAGATAAGGCTTTGTATATTGGATAACAGCGGAAAGGAGAAATTAGTTAGAGAATTTGGTATTTATAATGTACAAAATTAAATCTGTCTAAATAAGTATAAATACATTGTGGTACTTTTCTGCATAACTAGTCATTTTTGCATGAAAAGCTTTTGCCACACCCCCTTTTTAGTTCACTCTTTGATAGGCAGGACATGTCTTTGGTCGTCTACAGCCCTACAGTTAAGACAAATGCCTTTAGTTCGTCACTGGCTTAGTTGTGACGGATCCACAATAGTTGCTTTGTCCCTTGTTTAGGCCCAGTTTAATTCAGAGTCTAATTCGGTTCAACTTTGGCCTTGTTGAATCTTGAATGAAAGAATGATTTAGTCCTGTTCAGACACGGTTTAGTCTATGGTTAAGACATTGTTTGGAGCACAAACATACAGGTTTTGCCCTCATGGAAACCTAAGAAATAACAGTCAAATTATAAAAATCAAATGTTGCATCCTGATAGTTACTGTTACTTGAGTAGTTTCTCCAAATACAGGATACTCTTGGCTACTATGTACTTTCACTTGAGTAATATTACTTTGATTTTATACTTATGTTTCTGATATAGAGCAGATTGTTTAGATTTTTTAAACCTGTACTTGTTATTGAGTAGAATTATAGCATGTTACTGTATTACTGTAGCATAAAAGTTACTTGTACAAGTTCACATTTGGTAAATTCACTTTAACTGAACAAGTTTTATATATGAAAAATGTTAGAAGTATCTAGCAACTAGTACTTCGTGTTGTATTTTGAAAACAGTTTTTACTTAAGTGCACATGTCCAGTATTATTTCCACTTTTTGGAGAACAATATTTTCCCCAACTGCCCAGTAGCACACAAACATAAAACACATGTAACTTTGTGCAGGCCTTTTAACATAACAGTGTGTAGAACAAAGCTTTGTGGCACACTGCAGGCGAGTGCTTTGACAGACATTTCCTTTGTGCTGGTGATAAACACATGCCCAGTGATCACTCCACACAGCTTCCTACATGAAGTCACACACTGTGCACAACTTTCCACACACGACGGACGTGAACTCAGGCTTACGTACTCTTTGGCTGATAAACTACCGTCTCCTAGGCAACCTCCTGTTAGGGCACAAACAATGACCTCATCATTGGCAGCCCGTCAAACCCACAATCCTTTGCGGCAGGATGGGAATGAACAAGCGTTTTTCCAGTAAATATGGGCTACCTGAACAGAAGGTTTACACATTAATTTTCCTATTCATTTTGACAACAATAGCACAGCCCCATTACTCTTCAATTTTCTGTTATTACTTACGCAAAATGTATCATGACAAACTTTTCCCTTCATCTTCAAACAAGTAGACATTTTACATTCTGTAAAATATAATTAATATAATGCCATATAATTTTCACTATATCCTCAAAAAGGCAGTGGCAAAGCATTTTAGCTGTCAAATATAGCCGCACTATAGAACTTTTGCCTATAATGTTCCACAGTACGGCATTAAACTTGTCTATCCTCCTGAAAACAAAAAGATGGCAATTTTCGTGTCTATGGAGCGGTAAACCCACTTGCAGTAAGAATGCATGTTACTCAATGTATATTTGGACTCATAAAATGTATAAATAGCCCACCATACAGATAAGTTTAATGCCATACTCTGGAACATTACAGACAAATAGGATCTTCCACCACTGTGAATCATTCAACAAGTAGTGGACCCTGACCAGAAAAGTTGCATAGTGCACCTTTAAAATTATCATTGGACACTTCAAAATGCTGGTTCTGTTGACAAACCTTTACAATTTTGTGTTTTATAACAAGCAGGATTACATTAGGGCTTGAATGTTGAGTATCTGAACAAACTTTCACTCAGAACAATTATAGCTACTGGCCACTGAAAGACTGGACCCACCTGAGGCTCTGAGATGAGATTCATCTTGTACGGATTCACCTTCCCTCCCTCCGAGGAGAGCGGCGACCACATTTTGTACTCTGACCTGAGGGACAAGGAAAAGGGGAAAACCAGACATTTGGCGTTAGTTCATGACTTATGTGGGTTGTTGAGGAAGGTAGTGATTCAAACATGACAAATTACAGACAGCAGATGGCTAAAATAGAGAGTGCAATGTATGAGCAAGTTTACAAGACACAGGTGGGCAGTGAATGAACTTTTAGTCATACAACCATACAAGTTAGGACACCTGTGTTGGTTAAAGCCTTGTTCAGTACATTACAGTGATTTTGGCTCTGCAATACCACTAATTAAAATTATAAATCAAAAATGGAAAGCGTGTATAGCTAATCCAAAGTTATGCATGTTCATTTGTGAATACTGACCACTGGCACATTAAAGCCACCAAACAAACCACAACAACTTGTATATCTTTTCTGATGTACCACCTCCAGAAAGTTTACCTTTAAATAAGCATGTAATAAAGAGAAGAAATTCAAAACTAAAAGCAAACTCGACTATGCATTGGAAAACAAGGTGACATTCTTACTTCTTAAAATACAAGAAACCACATCTATAAAAGAGTTTGATTTTTCAATAGTGTTTTTTTTTTTTTTAGCAGTATGTCCTCCAGCGGGCATTACAGTGTTGAGGAACTGTTTAGACATTTGTAAGTTGTCATTGTTGTAAGACTATAGCTGCAGCCTGAGGGGAGCTGTTGGACTGCTTTGTCAGTCTATTGTGTTATGTAAGGGGCTGTATTACGTCCATTTAAACATGATCTTTTCTTCAGTCAGCAGTAACCCAGTGCCCTCAATTCTTCTTTTTATGACCATCTTGTTCTTTCACGGGTCCTTAGCTCTAGTCCAAGCATCTATAAGTCATATTCTCTTGCATAACATAATGTGCATGTAGGTGTGTAGGGCTGTTGCAGGAAAAATACTCTGAACCTTAAATAACCCCATCAAAACGTGAAGAAAGACTAAACAAGTTTCAACCTGTCAGGGAAATCAAACCAAACATCTCTTAGCTTCACTTCGCAGGAATGACAAACAAATGTCAACAAACATCTTTCAATTAATGAAAAAAAAAAGGCCTTGCCAACAATACCAACATCATGACAGGAAAATGCATGCTTGAATACGCTCTTCGTGAATAGATGTAGAAGAATCCTACAGTGTATTTATTTAGACCTAAATAAATCTGAAAACACAATTTACTTGCAAACTTAATTTTAAATCATATATTTGAAATACTTTAAAAGGGTATATTTAAAGATATATTAAAAGGTGCACTGTGCAAATAGTGCAGGGTCAGCTATCTGCTTATCTTCACTGAGATGTTCCACAGTATGGCATTAAACATATCCATCTCCATAAACACAAGAAGGAGACACCACCAGGCCAAGTTACAGGTCAGATCTGTTGAGAGGTGAGCCCACTCACTGTACGAATGCAAGCTTCAAGGTTTTTCAGAGTAATAAAACAATGATAATTAAATATATGCAACATAGAGGACTTTAATGCCATACTGTGGAACATTTAGGAGAAAGCAATATCATCTTTATAAGATAAGGTGATGGATCCTTCACCAGGAAACCAGTTACACCATTAATGTTTTACTACCTATTTACAATCACTGTAATTTATTGTAAATCTTTCTTTCCAATCCTGACCAGGTTTTGGCTCAAGATCTGAAGTGTGTATTGTATAAAAACACACAGCATCGAGGAAAGGGTCAAATGTGAAGTAGCCTTTGACAATAAACTGCCTTAAATACCTTTCCAATTACTTAACTATTCAAAGACATTTCATATATTGATTTTACTCCAACTTTTTCTACAGTTATGGATGTTAGAACACAGTGTAAAGTACAACCCTAACATGTCTCGTTTTGATTCATGACACCTGGCTCTCCGCCTGCCTGCCTGCCTCATATCAAATTACTCATGCTTTGTTCAGGCCCGCGGCTACACAGATCTGCCCCAAACATGTCAGGGCGTCCCACCTGTCGATAGAGAGCGCCATCTCGTCTGCGCAGCCCTTGATTTTGTTTTGGGCTTCGATGTGCGTCATGCCTTCAGTGGATTCTCCGTCTATGGCGATGATGTGGTCCCCGATACAGAGGTTCGCTTCTGCCGCTTTGCTCCCTGGAGTCACCTGCAAAAGACAGAAGGTTTATTCAGTCGTGCATATGAAAATATATAAAAAAGAAGAATGCAGATCTCATAATTTATGTTTAGTTTAAATACAGTGGAAGTTAGCGGGTATTACAGTGCCAATAATTTAAGTTTTCTTCAAGATCTTATATTACACATCCTCAGAAATATACTTAAGAGTTGTGTATTGTTCATTGTTCATTCACATACGTATGTTTGAGTAATCCAAATCCAAATAATTCTAGTGAAGGTGTATGGAGTTTAAAAACACAGTGGAGATCTTCCCGTTTTACCACATGACAACACAAGGTGGGACAGAGTGTTTTCAGATTGAGAGAACAACACAGCCTAAAAAAATTACAACATAAATCAGAAAATAGTGAAATATGGGTTCTTTAAAAGGTGAAGAATCTGTCACTTGTCCCCAGATTATATTAGTTTGCTTGTAATATTCCACAGTATGGCCTTAAATTTATCTATCTCTATGACACCACCATGCCAAAGAGCAGCCAGTTCACTGTAAGAAAGTAAAAACAGCTGAATAAATGCCAAACCAATGTGTTTAAATACTGTGGAACATTCTAGACAAAGCAAAAGCAAAAATCTTCTTTGGGCTATGTGAGGAGGATTGGCTCTAATCCTCTGACCTGTGAGTTCACACATGTTGATAAAGTTTGGAGAAACTACGAGCAACTGAGTTCAAACATCACAAGAATGTCTGAGTCAGAATATGGGTTGTGGAGATTTTTCATGTCTAATATTGACCTAACAACTCTTGAATGAGGATATTATAAAGTACTTTTTGGGTTAGGGTTAGGGTTTTTTAAGAATTTAAGGAAATCTGATATAGCTGATCCATCTTACAATGCAACAATGTCAAATTTTACTGAAGTTTGTGAATACTTGTTAAATCATGATGCTTTTTCTCACTATTATTTACACCACAACCAAACAACACTGAACACCGTATTTTTCTTTTATTAATGTTGTCTACCAATTTACCATTCATCCAGTAAGTGATCATCTTTATGAAGTCAACTTTCAGGATTAAAATCACTTAACATTCATTCGCACCGCTTTTGATTTTGCTTATTATTGTTTTAGTACTTAAGATTATGAGTGTTATCTGAGTGACATCTCAACTGCTGGGCAACTCATACATGGAAAACTAGACTACAGTGCAAATAATGTTATGTAAACAAGTATCGCTTTTAAAGACTGGAGTTTTGTTTTGCACTGGAACAAACATCTCCTACACCAATATCTGAAAGAACAATAAAGAGTGTAATTTTTCTCAGTTCATGAACCAGCTGGCTTATAGCAAAGAAATGTGAAACTTATTTAAATGTTTTAGACACATGACAGTCAATACTAGGGCGGGGTATCATTAAGAAGTTGCCGATACGATACATATCTCGATGCAGTAAACTTTCGATTCGATATAATATATATTTCAAATCAAATCAATACGGTTCAATAAAAAATAAAAGGCTAAATCATGGCTGTGATACTAAAAGTCTTTGTTAAACCACTTCTTGTGCAAAGTTCATATGAAACACAAACATTTTAAATCATCAGAACAGTGAAAATGTCAAATGTGCCGCGTAAATGAGTTTCCTTCCTCTGAACAAGCAACAAAACTGTGGCGCTGTAACAAAATAATTGAACAAAATACACCAAAAAATGCTCTTGCTGATATATCGATACTGTTTCATCACATTATTTCATTATTTTTGCACACCCCTAGTCAATACCATGGTGTATACATTCCTAGTTACAGTAACCTATGACTCAAAAGTACACTCACACATTGGATTAGTAAATTATCCCCTTTATCCACTTAGCAACGTACACAGACTTTCCCGAATCTTTCATCTGACACAGCAATAATTAAAATCTGCCCAGGAATCAGGTCAACATGTCAGCTTCATTGGGCAGGAGCAGTAACAGTAGCCCCAACACCCGGCTAGTCAAGTATCCCTTATAGGGCACAGCACTGGAATCTCTTATCTCTGTTCCAATGGGTGGAGTGTAGCCTCTAGACGAGCCAAAGTACACACAGAAGAGGCTTATTCCTGTTTAAACACAACAACTGTGGCATTGTGAAGTCGCCCACTTCATATCCTATGCCCCATAAAAACAGCTATACCACACAGCTGTATGTATGATGTAATGCAGCTTAAAGTAGAAAAGGGGTGGATCAGTCCTTTTAAAAGATTCAGGGAGGGAGGCTGACCATAATAGCTCTTAATAATATGTACATTATAGGTATTTTAAGGCTATTTTACACATTGGCCTAAAGGTCAGGTTAAACGTTATTGCTTTGTGACAGAGTAGTAGCAAATAAAGAGAACTGGGTGTTGAAAGAATAGGAAGAGGTGCAGTAGCTGAAGGTGCGTTCACATTTGTACTTGTTTGATCCTGGTCTGAGCCTAGTTTAAATGCAGATACATGCATGGTTCAGCCCTGTTCTTGTCCTGTTTAGCCCTAGTCTAGCCAAGGTTACGTTAGTGGATTTAGTCCCAGTATAATTCCAAATTGAAGATGCTGTATGTTACTTTAAGACACTTTTTACTTGAATAAACTGCAAGCTACTCCAAAATGCAAGTTGTTTGTTTAAAGACTTTAGTTTTATACAACACATAGACACTTGATACAGCTGTTTGTTAGTTTAAAAATATGTAAATGTAAACATGTATTAGGATAGGAACAGCTTTGGAGAGCCCACATCTGGCTACTAACATACAGTATGTTTAAGATATTTATCAAATGAACTACCCGGATCTAAACAAAGGTGTCATGTCACGTTTAAGCAGAAACTAAAGACAAAAATAATGCAAATATAGGGTGACCAGACTTTCAAAATAAAACAAAAACTGGGACATCCAATAATAAAACTGTGAAACGAGTGCGTAATGAAGGAAAATTGTTACGCACTCAGCACTAATGTGAGCAAGTAGAGTCACATTTTCTTTGCGTTTTTGTCATTTTTAAGCAGCTTTTTTGCATTTTACCTAAACAAGTGACAATGTAAGCCTGTCTTTACTGTTAGCAGGTCAAAAATAAGGACATTTCTAATATAAAACTTGGACAAATCACTGTTTTTGGGTAAATCTGCTGAGATAAGGAGACAAGGCTCAAAACTGGGACTGTCCCGGGTAAATAGGGACGTCTGGTCACCATATGCAAAGAAATAACTTAATCGTGGAACTACAAATCGCTTTCAAACAATGTAACAAGTTGAGGACGTCGCGACGCTAACGTCATTACGCATCACGGCTACAAAGTGAAAAGATAAAAGCTTCAAGTCGGAAAAAGCGGAGAGAGTTCGCGTTCAGAGCTATTCAAGGTGAAAGGAGCTCAGGACCAGCTCAGGTGTGGCTCTTTAGTCTGTCGCGGCTCTTCATGTCAGAACTCACCCGTGAAATAGTCAGCGGCTGCTCGAAGTCCTTTCCCCCGACCAGCCTGAAGCCCCACGGCCCGCCACCCTGCAACACCACCTGGAGAGGCATGGCTGAGGCACCGCTAGAGTTTAACGCAGGGGAATGCAAGAAAACTACAGCAGAGCGGCTCCTTCTGCTTATAACATGTGCTGTGGTGTGCGATCTGCCCCGGGAGGACTGCAGCAGGCGCACACGGGAGTGGGTGGACCCTCAGGTTACACTTGGACGAATGGGTTTTGAAGTTTCCACGCGGACAAGTCCCACACCGAAGATTGTGGATGTGGAGGAGCAGCCACTCTGTTACAGCTCGTGTGCGCTGTAAGACTAAGACTTAGACAAACTTTATTGATTCACAAGGGAAATAATTTGGACACAGTAGCTCACACATCACAATATAAGACAATAACAAAGAGTGAAAAACATAAATGTTAATAATAAATTGTAAATAAGTAGCAAAAACTGATGTCAAATAAGGCATAATTATATAAATGTAAATGTACAAGTCAAAATACAACAGAAAAGTTATAAAATCTCAACTATATACAAGAGGGTTTATATAGGGTTATCTATTACATCAGGGTGAGTTGATGTACAGTTGTAGGGAGTATTATCTGTTATCTTATAGAGTGACCAGATGTCCCTATTTACCCGGGACTGTCCCAACTTTGGGCCCGGTGTCTCCTGTCAAAGCAGATTTATCTAAAGCCAGTGATTTATCCCAGTTTGATACAAGAAATGTCCCTATTTTTGACCAGTTTGATCTAAACCAGGACTAAACTAAGACTAAACCAGGACTACATCAGGTCTAAACCAGGACAAAAACAGGACTATCGCAATTTTTGACTAAACTGATCCTCGCCAACAGTAAAGAGGAGCATAAATTGTCATTTTTTTTAGCCAAAATACTGAAAACCATGTTTGCAACCGACCATAAAACAAAAAAAAAAGATTATGATTTTGAGAATGCACAATCTTACACGCTCTTTTCACAATATTATTTATACCAACCACCAACCCATGTGTGTCCCAGTTTAGAATTTTGAATATATGGTGTGAATGGAGAATGAATCCAGTCTCTTTTCTCTAATGTGTCTAATGTTTTATCGAGAATGAGAGAAAATAGGTCAGTCTATAAAAGTGACAATTTAGACCCTATAAATAAAGATGTTCTGTCATCTTGTTTTTATTCTATTTCCCTGTGTAGGGGTGAGCAAAAATATTGATGTTTAATGTGATGATACAGCATTGATATCATGGGCTGCTGTATCGATATATCACCAAGACTTTTTTTAGGTATATTTTACGAAATTATTTTGTTACAGCACTACAGTTTTGTTGCTTGTTTAGAGGAAGGAAACTCGTTTATGCAACACATTTCACACTTTCACTTTGATGATTAAAATGGGCGTTTTGCATATTCACTTTGCACAAGAATTGGTTTAACAAGGACTTATAATATGACAGCCATAACGGCCATTATTTTTTATTGAACGCTATCAAATCTATTTAAAATATATCATATCAAATGTATGTGTTTTATTGCTTGAAATCCTGTAGCTTGGCCTGGTGCCCCCTTCAAAAGAAAAGTTACATAATTTACCATAATATCCAAGAATGAAAACCTCATTCACTTTATTTTGTATGTAGGGTTTGCCTAATTTGGGACTTGGCTTGATTAAAGTTCTGAGATGTTCTAAATTGTCATTGACTCTCCAATAATCTATAATTGGCAAGTGCTATAATGAACTGACTAATGGCTGAATGGTGTTGCAGAGGTATCGACTGACACTAATAAATGTGGTGCATAAGAAGATTTACAAAAAACACATGGTTGGTGTCACCAACCATGTGTTTATCACCAACTTGGTGATAAAAAAGTTACAAAACTTAGACTTGTTCACCCCTAAAATGTATCCCTCTTTGGCCCCTAAAATGCTCTAGACCCGCCTGGTCTGAGATCATTGTAATAAACAATACTAAGCTCAGCAAACAGCCCCCTGAACAAACAAAGATCAGTTTCACTTTGTGATCAGTGGCAGATGTCCTGATGTGACATGAGAAATATGTTGTTGTTTTTCTCTTATCCAATTAAGTCTATAGCAAATCAAATCACTTTTTATTATTATTACAATGTGTTTGCGAAACAAATAGGTTTACATTTCACAAAAGAACCTCAAGGCAAGTCAGAAGATCTACCCATTCTGTCCCAGAGGTGGGGACTTGCAAGTCGTGACTTGGACTCCAGTCAGACTTGAGTCTCTATTTTTAGGACTTTAGACTTGACTTGAAAAATTGAACTAAGACTTGGGACTCGACTTGGACTTGAAGGTCAGTGACTCTGGACTTGACTCTGACTTGAGGCCTGTGACTTGAGAAGACTTGATGCTTCTTCTAAAGTTTTTAGAAAATACTTTTCTCTTTTCAGTTGAAAAATGCAGTGTTTAGTTTTACAGGAACAAACTTTATCATGTCCCTCCCACTTCTGTTTGTTACTTTGGATGTAACTGAAGTACTGTGAGATGGTATCCTCAAATGTACTATAGTATTATTCAGTAATATGCAGTACAATACAGTAAAACATAGAACATGATCCTTCCATTTCAGTGCAGACTACATGACAAAATAAGTGATATTTAGCACTTTTAAATCTGAATTCTTTCTGTTCTGAGCCCATTGATTCACACTAAGATCATGTAAAGACATTTAAAAAGGAAAAAAAAATGCATTTCTACAACTATAAAAATACTCACATATAAATATACATTGACTTTTTAAGTACAGTTTAGTTTAAAATTCATGTAAATTGCAAAAATCTAAGATAAAGACTTGAAATGACTTGAGGCTCGAAGCAGACGACCCGGACTTGCCTTGGACTTCTGGGTCAGTGACTCAAGCCTCGACTTGGACTTGCCTATATTTGACTTGGGATTTGACTTGGACTTGACACTTACTTGAGACTTGCAAAACAACGACTTGGTCCCACTTCTTGTCTGTGCTATTCAGATGAAACTCGCCCAAAGATAGGCCTAATTTAAACGTAATCTTTTTTCATTTGTTTATTTTTTGTTACAGGTTCATAAAGTTGAAAAAGCACGGTGAAAAGCCTCTGTGACATGAACATATGGCTAAAACATGCCAGGAATGCCTTAAGAAAACACAGCAAACCGATCTGAATGGGAGTGATACTTCTGTTGTTTTGGCCTCTCTTTGTTCAGCTGCTGTTTTTTTTTTTTTTTTTTTTTCCCCTCCTGCTGCTGGTTTCTTCACGGACGCAGACCTGCCCCGTACGTCACTGTGTTTTATGCGAGCTTACCATTTATGGAAGAGCCAAAATCCCAGGATGTGGAATGTGCCTCTCCCTAAAAACTAGTGAATTCCTGCCAGTGGATCAGTCTTAAAAGGCAGAGGGTAGGGAAGACCTCTGGGCAGTCTGCATGAATGAGCCAGGGCCTTTGTTGTGGGACTCTAAATAAACTAGGACTAATCCAGGACTAAAACAGGACTAAAATAGGACTAAAACAGGACTAAAATAGGACTAAAATAGGCTTTGAACTGCAGATAATAATGCAAACTGTTATCCAGGTGATCCAGGAATAAAGCAGGACTGAAATAGACCTAAACTGAATCTAAACCGGGACTGTTCCAAGACTGAACCTGAACCAGACTGGAATGAGGACAAACTTGCACGGAGACAAGAAAAATAATAAACCAAATCAAGTCATGCAGAACAACATTTTAAATCAGGAGACCAAACCCTTCATTAAAGTGACTTTCAACATGTGTTAGTCTGGGACTAGTCTTCAGAGAACCAGACAGTCCCAGGGTTTCCCAGGACTAAAGCAGAACCACATTAGTATTCAATCAAGACTGAACAAGGGCTAAACCAGGACTGAACCAGGACTAAACCAAGTCTAAATCAGTACTTAACCAGGACTGAACCAGGGCTAAACCAGAACTTAACCAGGACTGAACCAGGGCTAAACCAGGACTAAACCAGGACTAAACCAGGACTGGACAGGAACTTAATCAGGACTAAACTAGGACAGCACCAGGACTAAACCAGGGCTAAATCAGGACTACACCAAAACTACACCAGGACTAAACTAGGATTAAATCAGGGCTAAACCAGGACTAAACCAGGACTAAACCAGGACTAAACCAGGACTGAACCAGGGCTAAACCAGGATTGAACCAGGTCTAAATCAGGACTACACCAGGACTAAACCAGGATTAAATCAGGGCTAAACCAGGACTAAACCAGGACTGAACCAGGGCTAAACCAAAACTGCACCAGGACTAAACCAGGACTGAACCAGGGCTAAACCAGGACTGAACCAGGGCTAAACCAGGACTAAACCAGGTCTAAATCAGGACTAAACCAGGGATAAACCAGGGATAAACCAGGACTAGACTAGAACTCAATCAGGACTAAACCAGGACTAAACCAGGTCGAAGTCAGGACTGAACCAGGGCTAAACCAGGACTAAACCAGGTTTAAACCAGAAGTGAACCAGGCCTAAACCAAAACTGCACCAGATCTAAACCAGGACTGCACCAAGACTAAACCAGCTCTAAATCAGGACTGAACCAGATTTAAACCAGGAGTGGACCAGGCCTAAACCAAAACTGCACTAGGTCTAAACCAGGTCAAAATCAGGACTGAACCAGGGCTAAACTAGGACTAAACCAATTCTAAGTCAGGCCTAAAGCACGGCTAAACCAGGAATAAACCAGGACTAGACTGGAACTCAATCACTAAACCAGGGCTACACCAGGAATGAACTGAAATGACACACAGTTATGAGTAAATGACGGCCCTGTGTGGCCTGGGCTTTAGTTTTACATGGAACTGCAGAAGTCTAGGAGCGGGGAGTATAGGGAGTCTTTAAGTGCAGAGAAAGCCCATGAAAGTATTCGCCTAATCTTGTAATGACACATATTGTCAGCATGTATTCAGCCTGGAGCGCTGTCTGTCTCCACATGGGGTTATGTAACTTAACTTTTATCATTTTAGGGGAGCACAGGAGATGCCTGGGATACTTTTATGATCTGCGTTCATGGTTTATCAAATATTTATTATCCCAAGAGACACACTGCAAATATCAGCTATAACTGCAAGGAACATTTTAGCAATTTGAGAAAAATTACTGCCTATTTTCAGACAATGCCATATCAAGTGTAATATCAGCTGTTATACAAGGACACCATGGACTTATTTTGATATAGACAGACTCATATTTTAATTGTCATTGTTTTAAATGGCTTTATATTTGTGGAAATGTAAGTCTTCTGGCGGAGGGTCTGACACCTGCTTTTCTCCATGGAGTTACAGGTCAAATCTGTGAAGATTTATTAAAAGTAAGCAATTATTAGAAATAAAAAAAAAGCTGTAATTGAATAAACCAAGATAAATAAGTTCAATGTCATAGTGTGGAATCATTTAGGCAAAGCAATAGTATCCATAATAATATCCCATGGTAGAAAAGTTAAATTAATTTATTTAAAAACTGTGTTACTATTTTATGTTATGCCTGTTCTCTATTCAATGTTTAAGCAAAACTATTATTAAACATTTATTTTAATAAGAAAAGGTTTGACATTACATATCTCAAAAGAAGAGAAAACATGCCGATGTTGTTGAAATTTTTCAATAAATATTTAGTTTGGTCCACGACTTAGTCCCAGTTTTTTTTTCCGGACTTCTGTGAATTTGAGTTTGACACCCTTTGTCTATGTTGACTATTTGCAACAAATGTCATCCAGAAACTCCTCATATCCTCTTTGTATTGTTCACTCTAAGTGCAAATGACATTGCCTTGTTTTTTGTCATTTGAATTTATGCAAATGTGTTAGTGCTCTTATTCCCTTTTCAAGGAATAAAGGAAACTAAACAAATCTACTACTTGCTCGAAACAAATTATTGAAAGTCTTATATTACACAAAGCTGACTCTCGTGAGCTTTAAGCCATGTTATAATGTTACTTCCTCAAAAACACACCCAGAGATCTGTTTTGTTTCATTCACACAAGATTCTTCACCCACCTTTCTTGCATGAATGTGGTGTGGTCACTACTTTGTTTAGGGCTGCTGTCGCTAGAAAACATGTGAGACATGGGGAGAGTGAAAAGAATGAAATGTAAAGATGAATTATTATTATTAATATGAGGTACAGCAAGTTGTTGTCTTTGTATGCATCAGCCCTTACTTGGTTTTAAACTTGTAGAATGTAATAATGTGTCATACTCCCAGATGGGGCAAGAGACATTTTTTTCTACTGATAACATCATCATGAGAAATATCCAAAAGGTCATTTCACAAACGTTGAACCTGATATGTTTTATCAGTGACTGGACCCCAGAACTTGCAATAGTACAAAACTAATAATTTCTAACAATAGTCATGTTATCTGCCCCTCATTTGCATTACTTACCTGTGTGAGGTGGCCTTTTCACAAATGAAAATCATCAAATCCAAGTACAGAAACAGTCTGCATCAGACTGATCTCACAGATTGTCTCAGATTAGCTGTCTGCAAGTATAAACCAAACTTCAAAGCATTATCAGAAATTCAATTTCAGCCATCACACCGAGTTTGATAATAACAGAACTCCTCCAATTAACCCTTTTGATACACTGGTAATGCTGTTTAGTGGTCATATTTGCACTATTTTGGTTGTTTCCACTGTATGTGGTTTGCATTTTGTTTGTATTGCAATTGTAATTTTTTTCTTGCAATGTTTTAATCCCCAGGAAACATTACCAAAACTGTCATTCTGTAACGAGTGTTCCCTAAGTTTCAAGATTGCAAAAATAAAGCGGTCTGGAATTATAAACATGATTATGTTGTTGTTATTTACGTTCATTTCGGATGCTTGTATCCGCGATCTTGTCCTTTTGATCATGATCATAGGTGAGGGTAGGAACGTACATTGATGGTAAATCGAGAGCTTTGCCTTTCGGCTCAGCTCCCGCTTCACCACAAAGGTTTGATACAGAGACCGCATCAATGCAGATGCTGCACGATCCCTTAGCGATAGGTTGAGGAGCTCCGTCACACGGGAGAAGCTCGGAGTGGAGCAGCTGAGGTGGCTCGGGCATGTGTTCCAGATGCCTCCTGGGAGCTTCTCTTGGGAGGTGTTCCAGCCATGTCCCACCAGGACTATGAAGGGACTATGTCTCTCAGCTGGCCTGGGAATGCCAGCTCCTCTGGGGGGACCTCAGAGGAGCTGGAGGAAGTGTCTGGGGTGAAAGAAGTCTGGAAGTCCCTGCTTAGACTGCTGCCTCCGTGACCTGGCCCTTGATAAGTGGAAGAAAATAAATGGATGTATGGATATTCACGTTCATGTTGGTAGATCTTGCTCTTTTCTCGGACCAAGCATGTAGGCTTTGGCTGACAAAGGTTGGTGACCACTGTATTAAAGGATCCATATTATGTTATTTTCTGATCTATGTTAAGTTTCCTCATCAAAAACATACATGGAGTTGTACTTTGTTTGCATTTTTAGCTTTGGAGATAACACAGGATTACTCAAACATGTGTGAATGAAACAAAATGTAACTCCAGTTTTTTGACGAGGTAACACCATTATAACATGTTTTAAAGCTCACAAGTGAATTTTGTGCAATATATTTGACCTAATGTCCAGAGTTGTTAAGCTGCTGTCGTAGAAACCCTAACTGATCTGAACTTGCACTAGTGACTATAATGAGGAGAAATTACCCAGACACAGCCCCAGTGTTTTAAATGGTTTATTAAATATTGCATAATACCGAAGTCACAGCAGTGTATAGTACTTTTATTTTAATATTGTCAATGTAACAGCACTGCAAATTGAAGCAAACAAACCAAACATTGCGGGTTGTGCGTGTCATCAAACGTATTCATTCCCATTATCACTAAATTATTATTGATTATTAATAATAATCGGGTAAGCATTATCGTGGTGTCACACTTTCGAAACAAGTTTTAGTTAGCGTTCTCCCATCAGAGACTACATAGTACGGGAAAACCAAAAATACATTTAAGTGATATTAAAAAAACAAGACAATGAGGCACGATTTTTCATCAAACATAAGGCATTGCTTTAAAAATGGCAACGTAATGTTGGTTATGCGTCGTTCACTCTGTGCTTTTGCCAAAATCCTTCATAAAAACCGCAAGTGACGTGAGGCGCGTCCCATCAAACAGTTAAAATTTCATTATTTTACATATTTACAGAACAAAACTTCCACTTTTCAAAAATCAGGACAAAACATTTTTATACAAACGTGATAGAACAAACTTTGCCACATTCAGAGTTCATACATTCATTCCCAAAGAGCAGAAATCACAGAGGAATCGATAAGTGATTTGAGATGATTTGAGATTTGTATTTGATATTAAGCTACAATTGGTTTACTAAAGCTGAAACTGTCAACCCATGTAATCCCACTATATGTATAAATATTAACTTCATAAGGTGATTTTTTTCTTGTATGTAAAAAGTGCGCTGTCGTCATGGTCAAATTAGGATCTGGGACGAAGGTAGTATCATTTAACTATCTCTAAAATACAAAAGTGGATTCATTTTTTAAGATTGTCATGTACATATAGGTAGAAAACATCTTGTCCCGCCCCAAAACATTTAAAAATATAATTGTAAAACCTATAACCCCCAATGAACCCAGTTAAAAGAGTCACTTCTTTACACAATTTATACACATTGAGGGTTCATTGTTAAATAAATGCAATAATAATGAGATTATAAGTGCATTATGTTTAGGAAAGTAAATTAAAATTGTCCCTTTGAGGAAATCTGTCTTCTCAAACTTACTTTTTGAAGCTATAACACATATTTTACTTATTTTTTATTTGATAGACACATATAAAACTCATCACCCAATATTAAATTAATCAATTATTAGGAAACTTTTCAGGGCTACCACACTACAATACTACACATTTTCTCATTTAAATCTACGGTACAAACCAATATTTCTTCACTTATTTGATATTTTGTTATGATATAGTTATGAATAGTGGGATTAAACGGGTTGAGAAACATGCTTGTATGATTTGAAAACACACCTGGACAGGCACAACCACACTGTGAAGAGTCTAACATTTCATCAATCTGAAAAAACATAGAAGTGCGTGTATTGGCAAAATGTCACTAGTGATCTGCACTGCAACAAACCAATGTGTAGATAAGCAAACACTGACCACTACTGGACTCAAATACATGAAACTTCATTGTTTCCAGGTTCACTGAGGTGGTGGGTTTCACTGCACAACATTCAGATGCAAAAATACTCCAAGATATTATAGTAAACATACATATACACCTGTGGTATAGTGTCTGTGGAGTAGGGCTGGGCAATATGACAGAAATAATATTACTTTTATTGTTATTTTGTCTTAAAATAATGAATTTCAGACTTTTAATAATTCACTGCAAAAGGTGGATTACGCAACTTTTCTAGGGAGGAGTCCGCCAACTTGCTTGTCTCCATGGAGATGTTATTGTTTTGCCAGAAATGCTCCAGAGTATGGCAATAAACGCACTTATTTATCAAGCATTTATTCAATTAGATGTGTTTAAATTGATTAAGGTCACCACTCCAAAGCTCTTACCTGTCACCTGACCTTGTGGCATCAGCGTTAGATAAGTTTAATGCCATATTGCAGGTCATTGTTAGCCTGATTCATCAGCAGGTTTCACTTCATAGAAACTGTCTGATCTCGCAGCATTAGGATTCGTTCGTTCGACGGTAGGCAGGTACTTTTTTTAATTTAACCAATCGCCGCTATTTGGTCGTGACGTATGTAAACGCACTGTTAACAGGGCTAACTGGTATATTAAACTTTTCCCAAACCCTCTAGGAAGAAGGGCAATAACGTCTTTCCTCTTGATAAAATTCACCAAACATTCTCTTTGTTCCGGCTTTAAATCCTTAATCTCGTGAATCGTTGCCAACACAGAATATATGGCTTTTTGCTGATTGGCGGGTGCCCGAACTCGCACTTCCGGGATGTTTGCGAACCGTGTATTCTGATTCCTGACCTAGTCGCTGGAGAGAAGTGAAATTGAGCGGAGGCACTCATTGCAGGCAAATTAATAACATCTCCATGGAAACAAGACAAGCAGGTGGCAGATGCTCCGCTATAAAAGTCACGTAGTGCCTCTTCAACACCAAAAATAGCCAAATTTCCTCTTCTTAAGTCTTCAAATGATGACGTTTTTACTGACAGAGGACTGGCAGTACATTAAACAGACCCAAGCTGATCATTGACAATTAAAAATGTCAAAAATATTGATCTTGAAACATTAAAAAGTGACTAACTGCCCAGCCCTACTATTGAGTTACTGCTTTTTTGAATACTTCACATTGTGTTGTATAAGGCAATCATGAAATGGAAGGCCCACTGATAGTCACTGGCACCAGTTTGATTAGAAATGTCTGGGAAAGATTGACAACTGGGACTCTATCTCTTCGCACAGCTTCCTTCTGGTTGAGTTGAACTGAAATAGTTTACATAGTTGACATGCAGGTCAAAAAGCACAAGGCAATAGTCAGGAACATTGCAACCGTGAAATGGAGGGATCAGGAGAGAGGACTGGAGCTTGAGCAGAATCACTGGGCTAGTTGTAATAAATATAGCTTAAAATGACTGAAATCAAATATGGAAGAAATATAAAAGGGAAGTAAAGACATATCTGGATCAATTAGTGAACAATATATATTTAATAATCTTACTGTATTTACTAGAGATGTAGCGATATCCAAATCTTTCGGTAAGATTTTTATTGCGATATTTTGGAGAGGCTGATATAATTGTAAATAGGACACTTTCTTTGCTTTTAAAATACCCGGACAAGGTTTTAGTGTGAAATATTTCCATCATAATCCCAAGAATTCAAGTAAAAAACATATTTCTTCATGCTTTCTGCACTGAAATGACTCATGGGATATGTAGTTCATCATGTTTATTAGGTTTTTCTACTATAAAACAACACTTTTAAGCAAAGAAACTTGTAATTCAATATATTGTGAGACTTTTTACGATACAATTTCACGATATTTTGTTTATTGTTACATCCCTAGTATCCACCTCAGTCTGCACCGCCTATTTTTGTCTCTAAATGCTCCTAAACCGTGCTTTTTTGTGGTGGAAGGGATCCCATTCGTGTCAGTGAAGAATTTAAGAAACATTTTGCATCTTAACTATGACATAAAGTTGGATAATTTGTGTAAAATGTTCAGTGTCCATGGGCACCAACAAGTAAACACTGCACTGATTCTCTGGGGGATGGCTTTAAAACGGCTTTATCATCCGTTCTGAACTTATCTGCTGTCAAAATTGGCCCCACAACTTATTTATTCCATCTTCTGGAAAAAGGAGGATACAGAGAAAAATAATTTGTGCTCAAAACTTCAATATCAATATAGAATTCATGGTAATTTGAGCTTTAATAGGCCGTTATTAATATGAAATGTCCGTAAAATTAGTTAATATCTATGTTTGTATGTTGTTGGTTAATTATATTAGGCTAGCTTTATCTGTAAATAACAGTTGTACATATACGTGATATGTTTTAATGTGCTCACTTTGATTACAATACTAGTTACTACAAGTATAACGGTTGACCTATAGTAAAGCTGAATTCTTACATTTATCAAAACTGTTTATTTTTTAATGTGGCCCATATTGACCTAACGGCAATGTTAAACAAATTCACGGACAAATGAATGTATTCTGTATTTTGGGCTTGTGAAACGGGTTTAAAGAGGGAAAGCTTATTTGTGGCGATCTGGAGTTTCAGCACTATTTTAAAGATTTTTTCACTTTCAAAAAATATAATACTATTTTATTTTAAGTCATCAATTGCTATGGCAGCTGTAATAATTTCTCATCATTCTGAAACCAATAGATAGGCTGAGGATCCTGTACTGCATGCTGCTTTGTATGCACGTTTCTATACAAAAATACCCCACATACCTGAAGTACTTTCTTCCACTGTGCACATTTACGAGCGTTAACACGGGCATAGCTCAGATGACACTTAAGATAAATGTCAAAGCTATTGTTCTTGTTACTTTAGAGTCATTAATGATTCATTTACTGTTTAGGTGGAATCTCCTAAAATGACCTGGCAGGAAGTAAAACGGCACCACGCCTGTCCTGTGGCTAGAGCGGAGCAAGGGTCAGACCGAGGCTACCTCATGGACACTCCTACTGTAATGCAAAGTATTATGGGAAATAAGAATAACACTTAAACAGAATTATAAAGACTATAATTTGGAAGATATTTTAGTTCACAGTGCTTATTCATGAATTTCAGCTTCCTGTTATACGCAACATCTTTAGGACTTTTTCCGGTTTCATAAAAATACAATGCTTTGTTTTTAATTGTTTATCGCTATGGCAACAGTCCTAGTTTCTCAAGAACAATTCTGATATTGAGAACATTTACTTTACATGAGAACATGTATCAAAATCTTACATACGAAGAATATTCTTATTTTTTATTTAAAATTGCAGTTTCCTTTTTTGTCACTTATGGTTTAACGTCCTTTGAAACACAGACATGCTTCCTATCCAAAGATGTTTAAATAGTCTAGAATGATCTATATTTTTGTAATATATAGGACTGTTTTTCTGAACACAGTGGCTTTTTTACTTTTACATTGACACACCTAAAGTGTAATTAGTATTCTGTACATAAATATTTACTAATAAAAATCAGCCTGGGTTCTGAAAGGTAGCAGGTGACCATCTCTAACTGCATCATATAAAATATGTTTCTCATTCAAAATCCAATTTAGTTTAAATGTCCTCTCCTTAACCCTATTTTCTGCTGCTGACCTCTGACCCCTGCCCCTTTACACTGCGTTGGTAGAAAACTGTAAACACGAGGTTATGATCCTGACAAGAGCGAAACTTTGTAGTGAGTGTGGCAGAGTTTCACAGTCCATGTTGAGGTTTGAAGTTTGAGGTTTTTTTGGGCAGTGCGTCTCAACAGCGCCCCCTCTCCTCCTGCAGCGGGACATACCTCGGGCCGGCTGTCACTTTCCCAGACAAATGGACAGTCCTGGTTCAAACGGGACTCTAACCAAAGGCCAAGCACGACACAGATTCTCCACAGGCAACAGTGTGTGACAGAGTCCAATCTAGAGCTTCACCTCCTTCACATAGTTCCCCGGGAAAGTCCCAAACAGTTTTGTCCTTCGGGAGGTACCTGCAAAACAAACAAGAACAAGGAAACATTTGAGTTCTCAGATTATTTTCTTATGGGCAGAGGTATGCAATTGCTCAAGTATTACTTTGTTTAAATGAATGAAGATAAAGTATTTTGCCCATGGCAGTATGCGATGTCTGTAGTGGAATTGAACTGGCCACCTCTCTGTAAATGAGCTACTATTTATAAGTGGTTTACTTACCTGATTGGCTCTTTGGTTTTGTACTTGGATTTCTAATAATGGTTTTTGGTTGCAGATTAGCTGCAATAACTGTCAGCCTCAATGAACTTCATTTGACTGGGTGACGTCACACTCCCTTAATCCACTTCTATCATACAGTCTATGTATAATATCCTTTAATTATGAAGAATAAGCTTGAACCAATCGTCCAAGTTCAGTTTATGAAGCAAGTACACAATTATAGTTTAAAAAAATTGTGATTTTAGCATTTCTACTGGCTAAAAGTATGTAAAATATCTTCTCATAATCCCTTTTTACATGAAAGTTTTAAATAACAAATTGATAATAAATCATTCTGAATTGAAATAATAGACCCACCAACCAGCTTTTTGTTGTTGTTAAGACTTGGTGTGTTGACAAGTGAAGCCCATTTTGGACAAACCCTAACATTCGCTTAAGTCTTCTGTATATAGTCAATTTGAATGACACAATCAAACAACCACTGCATCATATTTAACACTTATACATTGGCACTGAAGACCACTGAAGTGCACTGCACTCTATCTGCTCCTGCCCGCTCCTGTCAGTCTGTAGTCACTGTATCCGAGTCTGGGGGGGTCCTGAGCACACTCTGTTCACACATTTGGCCTCTTTGTCGACGTCTTTGAAACTCTGTATGTTTGACCTGTGACAGCGGCGTGTGACTACAGCTCTGACATTGTAGGATGTAAGGAGATTTAGGGGCGAGGTTGTGACTGTGTTTTATGTTGTTCCTCTCTGATCTTATGTTGTACAATGAGTAACCTCCCCCAGGCAGGCTTATTATCCTCCAAAAACTGGCCATAACAAAACCAATTCTTTGTTTCAGTGTTCCAATCCAAGAACATTAATGTTATTTCATTTTTTTCACAAAAATTGCCCAAGTAAATTTGACTCAGTGACATCTGGAGAGCACATGTGGCTCAGTGGTGGGGTCATGCAAATTAATCAAATCTGAATCGATTCAGTCATTTCCAATCATTAATAATGTGCTTGGATCTTTTTAACTGAGTTGCCCAGAGCCAATTCTCTGTCAGTGAAAGCATGTGGTTTGGATTTCAGACTTTGAATGTGGATTTTTATGTTAGATGGTATGTAGTATTTGTTAATATGACAAAATAGCAGATAAATCAAAATTATGATGCAGTTTTCTGTCATACTGCCCAGCCCTTCCAAGTGGTATGAGTAGACGTACCCACAAACCAGCCGTCGTCACACTTTTCCATGACGCTCACCAGGTCTCCCTCCTGCAGCTCCAGCTCGTCCTCGTTCTGAGGGATGTAGCTGTACAAGGCCTGGAACCTGATGAGACACACAGAGGAGATACTCAGGGGCAGGCTGATTTTTAAGGTTCTATATTACACAAAAATGACTCTTGTGAGCTTTAAGCCATGTTAAGCCCTATTCACACAGGATAAGTACAACCTGGGGATGTCTGGTAATTTGCAAATTACCACCCCACCTCTGTGTTACTGTGAGATAAGTGAAGTCTGTAAATTACTCTTATTTTACTGACTTTGACTGAGATTGAAAGAGAAAAGAACGCAAAATGAAAGAGATAGAAAAGGCGAGCAATTACAACATTAAACACTGAGATGCAGATTTGCACGGGACTAGCATCACCGAACGTCTTTTTTTGACGAAATATAGTAGGTAAATTGCAGTGGAATTTTTACTTTACAAATTATAGGCATGGTGCATTTGCATGGAATAAAGATCTTAGGCATCGTCCACAATTATTACAAATCACCAAAGGTCTACACGTAAAACTAATCCTCTGTGAATAGGGCTTTAGAATGTTGTTACCGCATCAAAAACATACTTGGAGTTTTGTTTTGTTTGATGCACAAAATGTTGTGTAATATTGAGTTATTAGTCAGTCTACATCTCCAAAGCTCAAAATGCTCTCTACAACCTTGTGATGTCATGTAGTGGTACTTTTCAAGTTAACCACCTTTTATTTTTGTCCAGTATATATTGGCAATTCCAGGGCTGAAATTTTCCAAATGATTCTAGTGACAGCGTATGGAGTTTAAAAATGCAGAGCATTTCTTGTATTACCTCATGCCATGACAAGGTGAAACAAGGTGGAATATTTTCAGTTTGAGAGAAGAACTCAGACATTTTTTTTTCTTTTGAGAGAAGAACCTAAGTATGCAGGGTATATTTTTGATACAAAAACAACATTATAAAATACATTACCGGTCAAAAGTTTTAGAACACCACATTTTTCTATTTACTGTTGACCAAAACGTATTCTAAACTTTTGATTCATGAACATTTTCATCTTTGGCAGATATAACAGCTGAACACACTTGTGGCTCGTTCTTTTTATAGTAGAAATCAAATATACTTCAGAAAGTTCTTCCCAAGTTTGTTGCAGAAGTTCCCATAAATGTGTGACACTTGTAGGTTTCTTGGCTTTCACTCTTCTGTCCAGTTCATCCCAAACCAGCTCGATGGGGTTTAAGTCTGGAGACTGTGCTGGACACTCCATGTTTTCAAGCTTTACCGTCTTGTTCTTTTTTTCTGAGGTATTTTTGGCAGAGCTTGGACTTGTGTTTTGTTATTTTTTTTTTAATCTTTTTTTTCAGTTCAGTACTTACTTTTGTAGTTCTTCATTGGACTTGGACAACTTGAATTGCAATAAATAACTGGAAAAATTAGGGTGTTCTAAAACTTTTGACCGATAGTGTAGATCAGAAAATAAAGCAATATAAACTCTTTAAACTAATGTAGCATAAACTTTGGTTTCACAGTTAGACCAGTCCATTACTAAACCCTTTTCTGCATTATAGCTTGGATTTTATCAACCTCATATGCCATCTTTCCTTATTGTGAAAGTAGTTGCTGATACTCCAGCTGTAACTGATACACATTTGGAGTGTATCTGAACAAGTTCTCGTTTTTCAGTCAATAACACTATCCGTGGCTGTTATAATACCCATAAATACACGATGTTGTGAATAACGCTATAATACTGTTGACAGTATTTACACACAGTCAAATAAATCATTGTGTGGGTTTGTGGGAGGTCTTCTACTCACAGGCCACAGCTGAGGCGTCCTGGCTCCGGGCTGCTGCTTTGGGACAGGGGCTGCTGGGAAACGATGAGAGACTGTTTACTGGGATGTGGGAGCACCTTTGGGTGACAGTCAAGAGGGTGCGGGTGCGACAGGGTGCTACAATACCGCACCGAAGTCTCTGCTATGTTCATGATCTCATTGCACACTGCCTCCTAGTGGTGGAGGTGGGCAGGTACAGCAAGGAAACACACCACAGCAGGAGGAGAAAGAGGAGGAGGGTGTCCCAGATGGAGATAGGGTGTTAGACAGGGAGGGGTGTAACAGGGTCCCATAAGTAGGAATTAGAAAGTAGGAAAGGAAACGATCCGTTAGGAGACAGGCAGAGTTGAGGTGGAGCCCAAGGAAGGAAGGCATGGAAAAGTAAAACACCAGAAGATGAAAGTGAAAGATTAGTACATATTAGGAAAACAGTATGAAAAGTTAGATGGAAATAATGTTGTGTGAATTGTATTAAGTTTCAATGATGTGTTAAAAATAAGATCTATGTCAAAAGAAAACACTGGATCAATACACTGTGGTTCAATGCAGCAAGAGAGAAATGATCATATAATTTACAAGCAATTTACAAATATCCCAAACTTACTGTAACTGTATTTTTAAATTATATTCAATGTGACTAAGTAAGTTAATTCACCTAATGCATCAATGAAAGCCAACTAAAAAGCGGCCACACACTACAGGATTTTTCAGTCTTAAATGATTTTTAAATGTGTTACAAAACGCGCATACCACACACACACGAAGAGAATCTCATGAAATTAAAATCTCTGATCACAAAGACTGCAGCGGGATATCTCTGCGTACTACAGGCTATAGACCGTTTCCTGTCTAGAGTAGAATGACTTGCTTTGAGACTCTTAAGTGTTCAAAAGATTATAGCATTGCATTTCTAGTTTAGATGCAAGGCAAAACTGTGTTATTAATTAATCAATTTAGTTATTAATATTGATAGATGATTGTTAATGCACAGAATATTGGAGATAAAGTACACAGGAAGTAGAGTCACTATTGCTAATCTGCAGCTTCACCCCGATTTGCCCTGTGTGGATGTAAACAGACACACATGAGGAAACTCTCTCAGCTTTTTACTTTTAAGAAAGATTCAAGATGGATTAACAGTGCTATTGGGTGTCATTATTTGTGAACAATTTCTATGGATAGTATGGATGAGACACTGCCGTTTAAATGTAGAGCTTTACAAGAGGTAAGTAATAAAGTCTTCTCATTATATTTGTCATTTCCCGAGTTTGTATCTTGTGACTCTATGTTTGTCAGTCCGTCTGCCCCTGACACTCTGTTTATTTGGTGGTTAGTATCTGACAGAGCCGCTCAGGGTCACACTAACACCACACGCACAAGCAGCGCGGCGGCTTCAACACTGCACACAAAGACACAAAGTTGGGTTATGCCTCCCTGAACTCGGGGAGAAGCAAATCGCAGTCTAAATCGGACAAATTCTCCTGTAGTGTGAGGCGGCCAAAAGTCTAATTATTTTGACTTTATTTCCTCCTGTTCAGAAAAACCCATATGCATTGTAGTAAAGCAGCTAATTCCAAAAGAAAATAAGTTGCCTGTTGATTCTAATAGAAATATTGCAAGCACCAACATCAGAATCCTAGAGGGGACAAAGTTGTTGCCTGATATTTTGAAAACAGCAATGCTTATTTCAGTTCAGTCATTGATCCAGTATTTTCTTCTCTCAATGATTATGTATTAGATGTTTAAAATGTGTTAACAAAAATAAAAACTTGTTACAAATTTACCGCGAAAGAGTTGACATTGTTGTTCTCCTGGATGTCATAGAGCATCACGGGGCTTCTGGAAGTGCGGCCATCAATATCATTCTTCAAAAACTGCAAAACATAAAATACAATATTAACATTTATTTATACTAGATCATTTTAAACGCTCTTCTTCTGTTGGTGGAAAGCAACGTTAAATATTTCCAAACAATTTTGTAACAATATCTCAGTGGCATTCAACACCTCAATGTGAGAAAACCACAACATGCAACAAAATGCAAGATACAAGAACGCAACTGTAATCTTTAAGCAATTTGTTTGACCTTTGACCTGTAATGTTAGTTGTGCACACTACATGCAGAGAGCTTTATACAGTGAGTAATTATATATACAACTCAGCATACTCAAGTCTTAACCCCTGAATCCTCCTTTTGTCCATCAATGTTTTTAGCTAAATTATAAAAACATGGGATTTCCGTCTGGATTTTTTTGTTGTGCTCAAATTGATAGTTGTGAATTTGACCTGGACTTAGTGGTAAAATGTGACTGTGGTGTAATTATGGATTATATACTGAATTTTTTGTGAGATTTCTGCAATTATGTGCAGTTTTACAAGCCTTTCATGTTTATCTTGAGACTTAAACCTCAATTAATACTATTCAAAGGTCAAATTTTTTCTCCTTAAAACACATTTTAGTTTTTAGTTAGTCAGACACATAAAAGACACATAATAACATTTATGTCTAGAAGTTAATCTCCATATAAATCTGGAGACCTGTTCAAGTAATCATCATTAGTTAATTCTCAAAAAACATTTATAAAACAACAACAACGGCGTGATGCTTTATTCAGTGTCTGGATGCACCACCACACACCATGCGTCTGATACCTCTGCTGGACCTTTGTATTTGCCTCGGGTCACCCCGTCTGCCCCATCCGCCCCCTCTGCCAGCTCCTTATCCCCCCCCTTGAGCCACCCCTCCAGCACAGGCCCAGCGCTGGGACTGCCACTGCGGGACAGGTGCTGAGGCGAAGGTGGAGATTCTTCGCTTTGGGCAGGGGTAAAGGTGACGTACGGGGTGGCTGAGCTCGGGCGGGGCGGGTAGGGCGGGGGTAAGGGCGACGCCGACGGAGACGCCATGGGGGAGTTGTAATACGGGCTGCCGATCAGAGGCGGGATGGGGCTGGCGGAGTAAGGAGGGGGCAGGTATTCGCCCAGGCGGTAGTAGGCGCTGGGTAGAGGGGGGAGGGGAGGGGTGGGGGCGGCCGGTGGACTGTTGCCCCCTCCGATGGTGAGGGAGATCCACTCGGAGGAGATGGCGTGAACCTCGGGAGAGACGGAGCGGCGGGGCGAGCGAGGGAGGGGCAGGGGGGAGGTGGTGAGGCGGTTACGGTAAAGCTTCAGAAGAAAGGAAGAAAAAATATGAAAGAAGGAGAGAGAAGGAGAGGAGTGAGAACTGAAATACAAACTGAACAGAAAATATGATAGATGAAATGTGGGAGTAAATTTTTATTTGTGGGTTTCAGAGTGAGGAAAAATTTAATTCAAATAAATACATCGTGTCATGAAAAGTACTCAAAATGTCACCTGCAAACAAGATGCTGGGACACAGTATATAACTAGTAAATCCGTGTATCATTTGTTCGTTCGATTTTCAAAAACGGATAACAATTAATTTTTTCAGTTTTCCTTGTGTTTAAATAGTAATGGAATGGAGTAACGGAAAAAAGGATTACGTCCATTTCCGTGACTTAAACTGCAATGCCGGACTTTTGCACCGCATACGGAACGAACCAGGACTAGAATAGGTCTACAAGGACTAAACCAGGACTAAAAAGCTCTAAGTCCTGGTTTAGACCTGGTTTATACCTGGTTCAGTTCTGGTTTATACCGGGTTCAGTTCTGATTTAGACCTGCTTTAGACCTGCTTTAGACCTAGTTTAGATCTGGTTTAGACCTGGTTTAGACCTGGTTTAGTCCCGTTTAGTTCAGTTTTAGTCCTGATTCAGTCCTGATTCAGTCCGTATGTGGAGAAAAAGTCCAGCATTGCCGTTTAAGTCACGGAAACGGGAAACAGTCGTTATCCATTTTTCCATTTTGGTTTTGGAGACAAATAATGTAGTATTTTTTTTTCCTTATTATTCTTGGTTTTATTTTGAAAAATGAATGAACGAATGATACACGAATTCTAGTAGACCAATGGAAAAACCTAAACTTTTGAAATTTGATTATGAATTGTGAATCTCACCAGCAATTGCAAAAGAACTGACTCACGTAAGACTTAAAATCTTGATTTATTGCTGAAAAATGAAATCACATATAGAAACAAAAACTGTAAAAATATACTGTGATGAAACAAAAATAGATTCTTGGACCTTCACTTTGTCAATAATATTTCAAAATTTGTGTACAAAAATATGAATTGTAGACTCACATCATAGCAATAACACATTTTAACTTATCACCGTCATACCCACAACGCTTCAGTGTTGGGTCTTACCTGCGGAGAGGCGGTGGTGCTGCGTTGGGGCGACTGGCACACAGGCGGGTCGGGGTAATCCACTCCGTTCTTCACTCTGGGTTTCTTATGGACCTCCACATATGTGACGGGGAAGATTCCTTGGCGATTAGTGCCCGAAATCTTACCCTCATACCAGTTTTCATCCACTCTGCGAATCAGGGTGATCCTCTCTCCCTAAAACACAACAATGATGGTTTAGTAAGTGTATTGTAAAGACTATTGGGCAGTGCATTAAACCAACATGTGACCAAACTGAAATTAACATTTGATTACATTTAAAAGTCCCACATTATGTTATTTTCTGATCTGTTGCAATGTTGTTTCCTCATCACAAACAGACCTAAAGTTGTGTTTTGTTTCATTCACACATGTTTAACACACAAACCCTGCATATTTAGAGTTTTTCTCTCAACCAGAAAACACTCCGATGAACCTTGTGATGTCATGTGGTGATACAGGAAGAGCAACTCCATACATCTTCACTAGAATCAGTTGGATAATTTCAGCTCTGGAATTGCCAATCTCTACTGAATTTAAGGTAAAAAGTAGCTTGAAAACTACCACTTCATAACATCACTAGGTGGAACAGAGCATTTTAGGCTTTGGAGATGTAGACAGAAAGAATTACTCAGATGTGCGTGAATGAAACAAAACACAACTCCTGGTATGTTTTGAGAAGGTAACTATGTTCTAACATGACTCAAAGCTCAAGAGTCAATTTTGTGTAACATAAGACCTTTAAGTAAACAAAAGATGAAATTAGTTTTGTAATTAATACTGACAAAAAAGATGTAGTCTTCATTTTTTATAAAAATTTAAAGCCAGCATGCTGTTAGAGCAGGGCCCTTTAACATTGGCCAAACGGCTTTAGAGCATCTTTAACTCTATAGTGCGATGTTCCCAAGATGCAGTGGTCAGTATCTCTCAAATAAGGTCCAAGGAAGGAATAGTAACCATAAAAAAATATTAAGCCCTTTGTCACTGTGCTATGTTACAGTAAACATGATTAACCAACACATACTTTTCTGAAGGACATCTCCACCACTGTGTCTCCATTGAAGTTGAAGCGAGCGATGGCCTCTCCGTACTCCAACACCTGCACCGGGACACTCTTCTTTGGCTGCGCCTTTTCTGTTGGAGGAAGAAGCTGGAAAGAAAAGATTTGTAACTTTTAATTATAATTATAACCATATATACTTATTCTTAGGACTGGAAGATATGACAAAAAGATGTATGATTTTTATTTTAAAAGTTATTATTGAGATCATTAATCCCCCCAAAAATGTAAAATGTCTTTCTCCTGACTGAAAGACTGAAATCTGTTCCAAAATAATTGCTTTTACTGACTGAGAACTGGCTGTAGACCACTCCAATAATAATTCTTGATCTCAGTTACAAAACATGTGCATGGTCCTATAGCTACTGGTAAATGGTTAAGTTTTTATGTTTAAAACTTAACAAATCTCACCCCCAGTCAAATTATGATTTTTTGTATAAACTCTGTTGATAAAGCAACTTCTCTATAAATAAAACAAACTGCACTTACCTCCACATAACTTCGAGGGAAAATGCCCACTCGCCCATGGTGCTCTCCTTCGTACCAGTTCTGATCCACCTGACGAATGATGTACACGATGTCTCCCTTTTGAAACGGCAACTCCCTACGGCAAATGTTTTCATTATTAGGTATTTATTATTGAAGAAACACCAAATATTATTAATAAAATTCTCGATCAGGACACTCAGAAATAATGCTATTGTTTTAAATAGACTATAGGGCGCATGTATTCAGTAATTGTGCTTAAATCTAAACCAGGACCAAACCAGGACTGGGCTTCCCACAAAGCAATTTTTTAGACATGATTCTTGGAAAGTAAGCAGTGAAATCCTGTTAAAACAATACTACCACTTTAGATTAACAATAAGCACAATAAATCAGTTTAACATATAACATTTGTGGAGAGCTGGACGTACTTTTGAATGAGGGGTTAGACTTTGCTCTGAATGAACGGGCTTGGCAGGGCAGCTGAGGTGAATTAGTGTTTTTAGCAACCAATAATAACAGATTACTGAAGGAGAAAGGAGGTCTGTTTTTACAAACGTTAACATATAATTTAGCCTCTTCCATTCTGAAGATGGATAGTGACCGGATGAGAGAGCACGGGGAGGTTTGCCTGGTTTCTGTGTCGGAGGTTTTTCCACTCCCAACAATATAACAACAATCACTCAAAAGATTCACTACAGCTACTATTACTGCAATAATACTACAATAATACTGCAACAATTACTAGGCTGGGCTACTACTGGGCAACGACTACTACAAATGTGTCCAAGTAATTTCCAAGTAAAACTACTACTACAACTACTACAGCTACAATTTTAACTACTACTACTACTACTACTACTACTACTACAACTTCAACAACTTTAACCACTACTACTACTACAGCTACAACTACTACAACTACTAGAACTATTACAACAACTACTACAAATATTACAACTACTACGACTACTATTACAACTCCTACTACTACTACTACTACTACTACAACTACTACAAGTACTCCAACTACAACTACAACAACTACTCCAACTACAACTACAACTACTAATCCAACTACTCCAACTACTACTACTACCTTAACTACAACTATTACCTTAACTACAACTATTTCTAGTAGTACTTTTTCAAAGTATTTCTACTGCTTCTTCACTTAAACTTCCAATACTGTGACCACTATCAAGCCAAGATAACTCTACAACTACTTTGGCGACTATTATTAGCGGGTACTTACTTCAACGATTCTGCTCTGAAGTCAAATCGGGCCATGGCAGGAGTTCTCTGCAAAACACACAATAAAAAAGTATTATTGAATAAACGTTTGCTTTAGCCCTTGAAAGCACTACACTATATTCATTATTTATTCACCCGATACATGGTGATAAGTTTCTATAACCACAGTTGCCCTGGGGTGGACTGACATGAGCAAGGCTGCCAATCTGCCCCATCGGCCCCTCTGATCACCACCACCGATCACTCAGTCACATAAAATTTATACTGGTGGGTTAAGAGTCTTGCCCAAGGACACACAGTACTTGGTCTGAGCGAGGTTCAAACCGCTGACCTTTGAGTTGGTGGGTGAGCGCTTTAACCTCTAAGCCACAGTTAGAATATTTCTCATCTTTTTTGTGTATTTTATATTTGCCACAGCTCTTCTGGCGAACTGTAAATCTGCCGCTGTCTCTGGTTGGCCTCTTGAACATAAACAGTGGAGCTATGACAGGAATGACGCGTGACACTGTCCCTCTGCTGCACTCGGATCTCAGGCTGTTTACTGAGACACTGTCAGCAGCAGCAGACACGCCTCACAACAACATTCACAAGAGCTAAAGAGGAAAAAGTCATGGAGATGGCTGATTTTAGATCTTTCAGAAAACTAATCATAGGTCTTTTATGCTGTAGAATATGCTGAATAAAGTAGTTCATGATCATTATAGTTGTATTGTTTTGTACTGGGCTGCTGATCTCAGCAACAAATACGTTCTATATAGACTATGATGCGGTTTTCGAGCTACCCAGAGAAAGATGCATGTGCTGACTGTGCACAACATGAACATGAACACACATTTTTAACAAAACAACCTACTTGAGTAAACGGTAACAAAATTCAAATGATCTTATTATTAAAAGTAATATTTGTGTGATTTAAGAGCTTCCAAAAAGCATGTATTTTAGTCTCCATGTATCAATATTCTGTAGAATCTGTATAATAACACTGTACTTATATATAACATGTTCTTCCTCCCCCCCTCCCCTCCAATCACCTCATCTATTGGTGCACTGAAAAAAAAACAATATCTAGGTAAGTTAAAATGACTTCAATCAAGAACATCTGACTTTATTTGGGTCAATTCAACTTGACAAGTAAAATTATCTACCGATGGAATAAGTGTGTTTTTCTTCATTCAAGCTTTCGATTTTCTTTTTGATTTTAAGTGCAAAAAGTTTTTGTTTTTCCTATTTTAAGTGTAACAAGATGTATTTTCATATTTTAAGTACAAAGAGTCTTATTCCACTGGCAGATAATGTGAAATTTACTCAAATCATGATAAAACTTTCTTAATTCAAGTCATCTGAACTTGACTAGATTTAGTTTTTTCCAGTGTGTTATGTGAGAATCCAAGAGAGCTGGATAGGACCAGTCTAATTACAAATGGGAGTTTAATACGCATAATACGGAATATGGACAAAATAAAACAAAGTAGTAAAACAGTAGTAGTAAAATATGCGTAATAAACTACATTAACATGATTTATACTAATTATTAAACAAATTGCTTAATCCTTTATGTGTTTATCATTATACTACAAATGATAAATAATTAGATTTGAGTTTGTTTTGTTTATAGATGACCCCATGTTACTACAGAGGGGTGTGTGAGAGATGCCTCAAAGCAAAACAGTGAAGAGGACAGCGGCCAAAACAAACAGCAGCTGGTTTATGTTGATTCAGAGCTGACAGAAAAGTAAAGACAAGCAGGTCCACTATGTTCCAGCACTGCCAGAAACATTTCATTTATCACATCAAGACTATGACTACTACAGGCCAAAGAGAGAAAGAAACAGACTGTGCCATATGCAACAACTGGAAGTATTTTTCAAGGTTAAGGTAAACTATTGTTCATCAAGAGAACTGTGCTCTGACTTGTCTGGATCTTGAGCCAGGATATTTGATTAGAAGAAATTCATGTATCATTCGTTCATTTGTTTTTCAAAATAAAACCAAAAATAAGAAAACGAAAAAACAACAATTTTCTTCATTATTTTTACATCCAAAACCCAAATGAAAAAACAGATAACAATCTAATAATAGCCATTTCCCGTTTCCATGACTTAAACTGCAATGCTGAAATTTTGCACTGTATACGGACTGAACCAGGACTGAACCAGCACTAAACCAGGACTAATCCAGAACTGAACCAGCCTTAAACCAGGACTAAAGCCGGACTGAACCAGGAGTGTGACTGGGCTGGAGTTGCGCTCATGTAGACTGTCGGGTGATCAGGACTGAGACCAGGACCAGATCGGGAGCAGACCAGGACCAGGACCAGGACTGAGAATGGGACCAGACCGGGACAAGATCAGGACTGAGACTAGGACTGAGACCGGGACTGAGACCACTACCAGACCGGGACTGAGACCGGGGCCGAGACCGGTTTAGTCCTGTTTTAGTCCTGGTTTAGTCCTGGTTCAATCCTGGTTCAGTGCGTATGCGGTGCAGGAGTCCAGCATCTCAGTTTAAGTCACAGAAATGGGCGTTATTGTTTTTTCCATTATTCATTTAAACAAAAAATAAAAAACTGAAAAAACTAATCATTATCCACTTTTTTCTTTTAGTTTTGGAGACAAATAATGAAGAAAATAGTTGTTTTTTTGTTTTCTTATTTTTGGTTTTATATTGAAAAACAGGATTCGAAGAGTTAAATAACATGATGTTTTGTCTAATATGCAAATAGTTTTGAATTATTTTTAGTTGTACGACAGGTAGGTTTCCCACTTGACATAAAACCAGTTTCTAACCACATGGAATAAATTTGATTTGACAGGTAATTTATGTGCCATTATAGATTTGATAAACCTGTAATGCATCGTCTCTATGCCAAGTTTTCCCTCTCTCTCTCTCTCTCTTCCCTTTATTTTCCTTCCTTCTCTGTCCCTTCCTCTTCTCTCTCCCTTCTTCCCTCTCCCTTTGTCCTCACTCCCTACTCCCTCACCTCTTTCTCTCCTCCTCTCTCTGTCCACTATCCCCTCCTCTGTTCTTCCACTCTCCCTTATTTCTTCCTAATTTCTCCTCTCTTCCCTTCCCTCTGTTCTTCTACCCCTCCACCCTCCTCATCCCCTCTTCCTGCCTGTTCCGATTAGCCCTCCAGTCTTTTCCTTGTACCTCCACTCCGGACTTCCTCTTCTCGCTGTTATCCGTGATGTTCAGCAGATCTCCGAAGCGTTCGTTGGTGATGAACTGGTGACGCGTTGGGACGATCCCGGTGTGTCTCCGAGAGGCCGCATCCGCCTCTTCCTGCTCCCGCTTCAGGCGCCGCTGCTCCTCCAGGATTTTCTGTCGAGGAAAGGTAAATGAATGTGTGAAAAACGTAAAAGCGGGGTTATGGTGCTATGGAAAAATTATCAGGTGTACTATTATTTTCATAAGAGAGGCTCTATTATGAAAAATACAGTGACATTTTAACATTACCATCAGCATGTTGATTTCCTTATATACCAAAAAAAAGTGCTTTGTGTTGCATTTCTTGTATGAAAAGCACTCTATGAATAAAGTTTGATTGATTAATAGACTGAAAACTCCCCAAAATTGCATTGTTATCCAGTCAATATAAAACAATACTTTCATTATTATTTTTTTTACTTTACTCACTTTTAAATTATTTTTAACTAATATACCAAAATTGTAGTTTGTATTTTATTTTAATTTTATTTATAATATTTAATTGTTTATTATATAATTGACATGTATTACTGGCCCTCTGTGTGATATGTTTTTCAGTGTTTTCAGTACTCAACACAATTTGTTGAACTTTTTACAGGCACATTGACAAGATTTATCATATACACTACCAGTCAAAAGTTTTAGAACACAACACTTTTTCCTTTTCACTTTTGATTCATGAAAGTGTCCACCTTTGGCAGATATAACAGCTGAACACACTCGTGGCTTGTTCTTTTTACAATAGAAATCAAAATATTCTTCAGAAAGTTCTTCCCAAGTCTGTTGCAGAAGTTCCCATAAATGTGTGGCACTTGTAGGTTTCTTGGCTTTCACTGTTCTGTCCAGTTCCAAACCAGCTCCATGGGGTTTAAGTCTGGTGATTGTGCTGGACACTCCATGTTTTCAAGTATTCAACCATCTTGTTCTTTTTTCCTGAGGTAGTTTTTTAGTTTTCAAGCTCTTCATTGGACTTAAATAACTTGAATTGCAATAAAAGTGTGAAAAATGTGGGTGTTCTAAAACTTTTGACCAGTAGTGTAAGTAGACTAAGTTGCATTTGTATATTAAAACCAAGCTAAAACTAATGATAAACTGTGAACAATCACCAAATCAAAGGTCACAACACAGCAACAGAAGGGTATGGAATCTAAATGAAATGCAAATGAATAAAAACTGCAATGCCGTAACTTTCTATGATTAAAAACCCACCTCTTTGTCACCCTTCTTCCGTAAAACATCATCCTGGTTCTCACTGTGAGCAGGAGACGAGTCTGCAACAAAAATGAAAACATAGATTTAGTTTCACGATTGTTAACCCCAAAAACATGCTACAAATGACTTCTAACTACCTCTATCTATGGACCAAACCAGTAGCTACATTGACGCATGCTTTTCAATGGTCATTTCACTAAAACAAAACCACACACATCAAAATGCTAAAATGTATTCCAGCATGCATACAGACATAATGGTACAATGTGTGTTCATGAAAAAAAAGGAAATTTCTACATCTACAAAGCATTCAATGAGACTTTCACTTATAAAAATGTTGACAGAATTCTTCTTTTCCTACGACAATGTTTCATGTTCGTGTCCCAGAAAACATGAAAAAGCATTCGCTGTAACAAACCAACGCTTACGTCAAAGAAATCAAATGATCCTGAGAGGTTCAAACAAAGCAAAGAGGAGGGGAGATGGAGGGTGGGAAATAATAAATAACTCAACAAAAAGGGAACGGGGCCAGACATCAGACTGAGAAGAACAGTATGCAAAATGTAGTTTGGTGCTCAGCCTGCTTAGACATTACAGATGCATGCTGGGAATTTTTGAGGGAGTTATACGCTTTATAATATTTTTCCATATGGATCTGTCAGGAAGTTTTGACCTAGTTTGAAAAGTTTCTGGTTAAACTAAAAGGTGCATTATGTAAACTTTCTGGCAGTATGGCTCTAAACTTTCTAAAGAGATGTTGCCAGGGATGATCGCCAATTTAGCATTTAACAAATCAGTTACAGGTGACACTACCAGGCACAGTTACAAGTCAGATCTGTGGAGAGGTGAGCCTGACCACAGTGAGAATGCAAGACTTTTTTGTTTCTTCTACACTGTAAACCCAAATAAGTTACCAGAACTCAAAGCATTTTTGGGAATCGACTGTCTTAATTATTTTAAGTTAAAAGTAACAATCTTCCAGAACTTAAAAGGTTGGATGTTTTGCTGCTTGTACCTTTTGATAACAGCTGAATTAAAAGTGCTCATTTCTCAACTCAAATATTTGCAGTTAATTTGACTCTTAGTTTTCTGTTAAGGCAACTCAATTATTTTCATTTGGGAGTTTTCAAACCACTTTAATAAGTTCACTTATTTGGTAAAAAGCTTTGAAATTGTATTGTATTTTAGCGTGTACTATATAAATTATTATTATTATTTTTTTTTTTAAATCGTCCCTATTTGAAACAATAGAAATAACTGGACTTTAGCATTCTCAGTGTTTATTTACTTCAATCTACTAAGTTGTACCTCATCAGTATATTTAAGTTATGCTCACTTATACCCACATTAGTTCCCTTTAATCAAAAAAATACTAGTTAAAATTACTCAAAAAGAGGAACATGTTATTGCAACTTGATATAATTAAGTTAGTAGGACTATTTCTAAAACTTTGACTATACACAACTTAATCTATTTAACTACTTTAAATGTTCGGGTTTACAGTGTAAGGAAAAAAAAAAAAAAGGTTTAATGGTTGTTTACAATATTTTGTAGTTGATAAAAAGAGCTCTTGTATCTCGATCCAATTAAACATTGTGTGTTTAATGCCTGAAATTATTGTGCCCTAAAAAGTTAAAATAGTGATTCTCAGTTTGTTTGGAGTTTCGAGCTAAGAAAAGATTTTAGTATAAATATCATGCTTTGTTACAGCTGAATTATAATGTGTAAGTTTGTTAACAATGGTCCAAAATGTTACATAATGCACCTTTAAAACACTCAAAACTAATGATTTGCTTGAGTTTTGTGTAAGTTTCACAACATTAGATAAAAAGTTCAAATCCTGATGATGTATTTTCATATTTATCTGTGTGGCGTAATGCTTAAGCAGGCGTGGTTCTTGCATACACCCAAACCTGATGTCACCAGTGAATTATACATTACCAAACTTTACTTGAATCTCCAAAAGTCACAGAAATGATGGCAGCAAAAAACTACAAAAACTACAAAAACTACAAACCAAAGACCAGAAGTGGGTAGTTCTCTGTTACATTCAGTTTAGTAACTTTTTAAAAAGAAATTGTACTTTTCAGAGCAGTTTTTAAGATGCTACTTTTACTCCTACTTGAAGTAACAGTACTCAAGTTATTCAAGTAAAAGTAACAAAAGCTTCACAGTATTACATGATTTGAACGTTTGTGTTTCTCTCTTTGAGTTATGATTTCGTTTTTCAAATTTTTGCATCTGTCCTACGAAAATACGATACATACGCATTATTATTTATTATGTTTTGTCCTTTCATTTACAATTAATTTAGATTAAATGTCCAGACAGTCTTTAAGTTACTCTTACTTGAGTAGCAGCTTTCCCAAATACTTTTTTTTTTACTCTTGCATTATTTCTTGGATCACTACTTGAGTAAAATCTATTTTGAAGTAATGTTACTCTTACTTGAGTACAATTTTCGGCTAGTCTACCCACCTCTGCCAAAGACTAGCACACAGAATGAGATGAACCCTTTCAGTTGAACACAGCAGGCATAGACAGACTAAAGATGGAGGGAGCAACGATGTCCCTTTGAGAGAGGAGGAGCAGCACACAGGGTGAAACAGTCCAAAACGAGATGAGTGACCACAAGATGACGCTCAACGTTGAGAGGAAAAAGATGAAATTATGCATATAGGACCTGTCAGTAGATTCCCATTGGCGTCCAAACCGTTATCCAAGTTTTCCCCATTGCTCAAACGCCCCAGAACTTCCAGAGAGGAGAGCCGTTGCGGGATATTGGGCCTCAACTCTTGACACAGGTTTGTAGCGGTCACTTTCGTCGCCAATAACGTCTTCTTGGTTTGGTTGTTTTTGCGAAGGCGGAAAGGGGCGGGGGTCATGAGGAAGAGGTTGCCAGGTAAGGCGGTTTTCCTCTCAGATGGAATGGGATTAGCAGCAGAAGGGGCGCGTTCTTGCTGAGCTTGTTGACGTTCGTGTCGGAGGATAGTGGTGAATCTTGTGTACGAAGCCGGACAGGAGCCTTTGCATTTAGACGGCTTGAGGTGCTGATGGTTAAGGTGGTGGAGGAGATGCTGTTGGTGGTGGTTATGGGGGCTTAAAAACAATTTGGATTCGACAGTTTTGTCTAAGGACACATCTGGAGTGCTTTTACTTAAAATAACTTTTGGTTCGATTTGTTTGGGAGATTCTGGCCTGATTTTCTCTTCCTCTATAACCGGAGATACCACGTCCTCTTCTTCTGTCGCTTCACTCATCGGAGACTCTGCTTGCTCAGTTTCTGGCGGGGCATCTGGCTTATTCAGATTTTCATTTGGGGCTGTCACCAATAAGGATTCAGCCGACACAGCAGTAGACATGAAATCACTTTGGTTGCGATTATGAGTGGCTGAATTTAAAGTTGGCATTGGACGAAGAGCGGATGGGAGCTTGGGACCCACTCCTCTGAATGATCATTTCAAACTCGCTGACCCGGGTGGACACTGCCTGGCGAGGAATGCACCCCTCTGACCTTTGACCCCCATCTGGTTGGGACTTCTCAAAAAGCGAGGCCAAGCTGCGCACGCTACCGTGAGGACTGCACCCCACGGAGCAGGGCCTCTGGATGTTATGCATGGTTCGATACAGGTTTGAAAATTCAGTCGTACTTTTTCTAACAGCAGGGGGCAGCGCATTCCTCAGCCCATCCACCAAATCAGTGCTACAGCTGCTCTCACACTCTCTTGCCCCGTTGCAATCACATGTTCCCGTATAGATGTCTTCGCAGCTATGGGCTTTGGGATGTCTTACGACTCGAGTCCTGTTGTCAACGTTACCACAGTCTTCGCTTTCGCCACCAGAGGGCAGTGTCTTCGGCTTGAATTTAGAAGGGAGGATTTGAGGGATGCAGACTTTGGCAGCAGACAGTGGTTTCTTGTTCTTACACTGGTTAGCAAGCCCATTAACTGAGCGACTATTTACTGATGAGGAGGGTGAAATTAAACAGCCAATCCCACCTTTATAATCCACTGGTAAGCATGCAGGACAACAGAATAAAACACATATTAGATTACAATGGTTTACAGCTTAACACACAAAAACAAGCACAGTTTCAAGTCAAATAAGTTTGTATAAAAAGTAATGAAGAAGCAGGAGACTTGATGCAGCCAAAACATCAAGTTATAATGTTGTGAAGAGCATGGCATTACAGGGTTAAAATAATGTCATAATATGAAAAGGTCATGGTTTGTTAATGCTTATTCTAATAATAATACAATACAAGCTCAACTCAAGGCAATTTGGGGCCGCGAAGTGGAAACAGGAAACATAATATTCCTTAAAACAAATTCTATACAAGTTAGAAATAGCCCTCTGAGGACCTCATTGACGGGCCTCCTGCTGGTGCTCGGAGTTAGAACAAAACATGACGCATTTCAGTTTTATGTAGCTAAAATCTGGAACAGTTTTTCTGAAGATGTGAGACAGGCCCCCTTTTTTTTGTTTGTTTGTTTGTATTGTGAATTTAATGCATTTCATATTCTGTAAAGCACTTTGAAAAACTTACTGAACTGTGCTGCACAAATAAACATGCCTTATCTTGCCTAATATTTTCTATTTTTAAGAAATAATCCAAACTATGACCCAGGAGCCAAATACGACCCTCAGATCGTTTTTTCTTGCCCCTCAGACTTCTAGGTGAATTGGCCAATACTTCCTCAAGTAGTAATTTTGAGTGAAAGTTTTTGAACATCAAATAATTAGTGTGTCCTTTGAGGATCTAAGCTTGGATAAGGTTCTGGTGTCTCATTCTAACCTGTTTATAAATGTGAATATTTGAATTATTCACTGTATTAACCATCAAACTATGACCCTTACTCGGCCCTCCACTTTTTCTATATCTACAAATGTGGCCCTTGAAGAGAAAAGTTTGGGCACCTCTGCACTAGTGAATGAGAAAATGAGACTTACAGTAAATGTATTTGTGCAGTGGTTGGCAGAAGCTACAGTCACAACATCCAAACCTAATTTCTGTGTTGAATTATTGTAATATGATGCATGATTATGTTAATTACCGCAGAAAATAAACTAAAAAACTAAAAACTAAAACCTCATCATCCCTGTCAATTCATGTTTTTAAAAAGTTATTTAGTGAAGTGCACAGAAGTAGTTTTGCAAATAAAGTTAAGGTTCACATTTAGGTTATTTTCAACTGTTGTCGTCAATTTTAAACTAGTCTTTAAAGGTGCACTATGTAACTTTTCTGAAGGAGGATCCACCAACTGCTAATGTCTCCATGGAGATTTTATTGCTTTAACTTGAATGTTCCACCTTAAAGCATCAGTGTAGCAAGAAATCTGATGAAGGCTTTTTTTGCCGAAACTTTTAAAAATGTAAAAAAAAAAGCTTTTGGACATCGGCCATCTGAGTGTGCTATGCATTTTTTCACTTTTAACCACCTTAAGGCATTAAACATACTACATTTATCTCCATGGAGACAAGCAGGTGACGCCACCAGGCCATTACAGGTCAGATCTGTGGAGAGGCGACTCCACTCACAGTAAGAATGCAAGCTTTTCAAGGTAATGTTGATAAAAACAACGGCATATAACAAATGCAATGTAGCAGGTAGTAGACTCTCCATTAAAGTTACATAGTGCAGCTTTAATACATGACATGACATGAACCCAGCCTACTACAACAGAACTGAATTGCACGCGCTACAGTCAGTGATTTATAGTGTGGTCTGTTTTTAAGATATTTTTAATGTGACTAATTTGTCTTATTTTACGCACACTGTCCAAGATGTCTAGACAAATATACTGTATATCAAAGCAGACAAAACAAACCCTTCTTGACCCAAACTCTTCACAGATTAAACTGACATATTTGTAGTCTGGCGTTCAACACTTCCTTTTTAAATTTCATTCTGAGGTTTTATGCTCACTGCTTGCTCCAGCTACATTCTTAGTGAGGCATTAATGCATCTGCAACATGTCCTCCGTCTCTGAGTCATGGGAAATTATGAGTGATCCAAACATCTGCCTAAATCATTACAGATGTGCCGTGGTTTATGCACCCTGGGTCATGGCAGATAGGGCTATAAAAAGAAAAGAGCTACACCCACAAAGTTTGAATGGAAAAGCTTAGTTTGGACAATAGGCTAAAACTAATCTACTTCACTGACACACGTAAACAGTTTAAACATTGTAAACCAGTGTAAAATTATCTACACATGAGATACAACTTCTAATGCTACTTTATGATCTGTTATTACTAATCGATTTAATCTGTGCACCTTTTATTGTGATGGGGGAACCCTAGCACCCACAGACACAGGGAGAAAATGCAAAACTCTGAAGCCTAACCTGGCCCAGTAATTGAACCTGAGACCTTCTTGCTGTGAGGCGGAGGAGGGCAAACCATGATGCCACTGCCTCACCCAAACTGTGCAATCTAATTGGCTTCTAGTGAGTAAAAAGTGTTTTAAAAGTGTTGCAAAAAGTCTTAAAATTTGTGTAATTGATAAATCCCATTTGCTTGGCTCCATATTTAAAGGTGCATATTCCATATTTCTAACAGCATGTGAGTATCTCCTAACAATAACTAGCATGCTAACTGTTCACTTCCTGGTTTTTGGAGAATAAAATGCTTTATAATTAGATTCAGACAGTACAGTGGATTTATTATGACCCTAAGAGCTACTTTTACCATATCTGTAGGCATACTGGGGCAAGACAAATTTAAATAATTAGGTATAGTACATAACTCACATAAACTGTAAAGACTACTTTCCAAAAAATATGTGATGAAATGGTCTCACCAAATTTGATAATCCTGACTTAAAACTAGGGATGTAACAATATCCATCTCACGGTATGATATTTATTGCAATATTTTGGAGAGGCTAATATAATTGTAGATAGGCCACTTTTATGCTTTTAAATACCTTGACAAGATTTTGATGTGAATTATTTTCCTCATAATTCCAAGAATTTAAGCAAAAAACATATTTCATCATGTTGTCTGCACTGAAATGAATCATGGGACATGTAGTTCCCAATGTTTATTACCTGTTGCTACAGTAAAACCATGCAGTTAACCAAAGGAACTTGTAATTCGATTTATTGTGACAGCCCATGATATTATTGAGAGACTTTTGACGATACGATATCATGATATTTCGGTTATTGTTACATCCCTACTTAAAACAGTAACACTTTAGTTTAGGGACCACATAGTTATAGCTAGTTGATAGTAAAATGCACAATAAGTGCCTAATTACATATTTGTTAGTATTTATAAAGTACTGTCAATGCATTTTGGCCAAATGCTGGACAATCATTAATGCCGGACAAACACTATTTAATATTTTCGATCGTTTCACTCAGTCCCAGCTCAAAACTGTACGGCCAAATCGCAAGGTTTTAAAGTTCACAGCTCACGATTCATGTTCTCACACTATACAATCTACTTCAACAGTGCAAATCCCTCACGAGAAGCGACTGGATTTCTGGTCGTGAGGTATTAATCGGTTCTCGTTACCCCATGTATACTACACGAAGCACGAAACTCGGCCCGATCTCCAAAACAGTGAGTGAAAAACAGACTCAAAAAGGACCAAAAATTGCACAATGTACGCCCGTCTTAAGGCTGTAGTTTGCAAGTATTAAGACACGAGCTGTTTTCTTCCCATTACAGTAGTGGGGATTACACAATAGCTGTTTTTGTTTATACACTGAAATCGTAATAAGCATTAATAAGTGTAATAAGTGTTTGATAAATACCAAATAATAGCTAAGTAACAGCTAATAAGCATACACATTACCACTTAGTTAGTAATTAATATGTGGCCCCTAGACTAAAGCGTGGCCCTTAAAATATATAATTAGATTCAAATTAATATTACACAAGTTTAAATTCTGTTCAGGGCTGGGTTACATATAAATAAATGAAACTGTTTTGGTGTAAGGTAGAAGTCAACATATGGGAAATGCTGCACTTTGAATTATTGATCTGTCCCTGGCAGACCTCAAGACACCAGAAGTAGGTGAGGGTTAAGAGAGGAAAGTATCTTACGAAATAAACATTGAAAATCTTGCAATTTCCTTTCAAATAACACAATAAATGCTTGTTCCTGTTTTTGATTTTTAAAATTAGTTTGGGGATTGATTTGTTCCTTGTGGCTCGTGCTGACCTCCTCTGACCTCCGCGCACTATTGAATGTATTCCATATATAGAAAGACATAAGACAAGTTATGATATAAGGCAGGGCAGCTGATCCTGTGAGGTAAAGGAAAATAGACCCGCACAGGTTCTCAACTGTGACCTGCTTTAGTCCTGATCATGTCCTTTCATGACCCTCGTGTAGATCTGGTTTGGTTCTAGTTTAGACTGAGTTTAGAGCTGGTTTGGACCTGGCTTAGACCTGATTTGGTCCTGGTTTAGACCTTGTTTAGACATGGTTTAGAGCTGGTTTAGAGCTGGTTTAGAACTAGTTTAGGGCCTGGTTTAGACCTAGTTCAGACCTAGTTTAGACCTAGATTAGATCTGGTTTATACCTAGTTTAGATCTAGATTAGATCTGATTTAGACCTAGTTTAGACCTAGTTTAGATCTGATTAAAACCTGGTTTAAACCTAGTTTATACCTGGTTTTGACCTGATTTAGACTTGATTCAGACTTGGTTCAGACCTAGTTTAGACCTGGTTTAGACCTGGCTTCGACCTAGTTTAGACCTGGTTTAGACCTAGTTTAGACCTAGTGTAGACTTAGTTTAGACCTGGTTCAGACCTGGTTCAGACCTGGTTCAGACCTAGTTAAGACCTGGTTAAGAGCTGGTTTAGACCTGTATTAGAGCTGGTTTAAACCTGGATTAGGGCTGGTTTAGACATGGTTTAGACCTGGTTTAGACCTAGTTTAGCTCTAGTTTAGCCCTGGTTTAGACCTGGTTTAGACCTAGTTTAGACCTGGTTTAGACCTGGTTCAGACTGGGTTCAGACCGGGTTCAGACCTGGTTCAGACCAGGTTTA